AGTAAGTTTTATGTCCAAACTGTGTACAGTGGGCTGGTAAAATGCAAACTTTAATTAATTTTTATAATAAAACCACTTTTCAGAGGCCTCTAATATTTTACCACGGTCAGTTTGGGCATAAAATTTATTATGGCAAGTTTCATCAAAATCCGAGACAAGCTACGAGCAGGTTCTTCTTGTTAGACAAAACTCTGCAGATGTATGACGTTCGTGCGTCGATTGACAATACTACTGTGTTTCGTAACAAAAACTAAGACTGCGCAAAAACAGGTTTTATTCTAAACTATTTGGCTTATTATTTCGAAAAAATAACTATAATAAGCTAAATATATGTTACCTGAATGTATCAAACTCGTCAAACAAATTCAATATTCATTTATCACAATCAGTTATGAAGGACCCAAGCACAAACGTACTAACACAAAACTCAATAAACGTGAAGTAAAAAAATCTCACTAACATAAAACTCAATAGAACTAAGACATCCCACTAACATAAAACTGTCCTAGCTTCTTCGAGACTCGAACATGAGACGACGCGGACCCGGGCTGAGTGCGCGCCCGGGTCCAAGCGCTGATCTTGAGCCTACGAAGAGTAGGCAGTAAATGAACTTGAGGATTCGCAAAATGTCATAACATCAACAAACATAGACCAACAATGCTGCATTGCTGAGATAGAAACTTAGGTTGGTAAACTAACGGTTTGAAGATGTTTCAAAATATCGATATAGTCTATACAACTGCCCTCGGTTGGTGTAAAAGTGTATTTGCATATTTTAATTCCTATTCATAAATTTTTTTACAATTGGCAGCTGAGCAGGCAGTATCATAGATAAACATAAAGTATCTTGTAAGAAAATAACAAGACACGTAAATGATCGGTCAATGTTTTCATAAATGTTGATTATGTAAATATCATGAAACTAGCAATAACTAGCTGTACTTAAATAAAAAAGTGAAAGGTTTTTGCATTTTACTATTAATTGCTATTTATTTGTTTTTAGATTTTGGAATAAACTTTGAGAAAAAAATTTCATACATAATATTTGTGGAACAATTTATTTCATAGGCCAATACAATAACACTTTTGGTCTTTCACTTTGATTGATATAAGTTGCATTATGTTGTTTTCATAATTCCTAAAATATTTCAATATGTCCAAAAATTGATCGATTTAATTAACTGTAATAATAGTGAACATACTAAATAAAGTCGTATGATAAATAGTAGATTTAAGTCAAATATTCCTATTTCATAACAAATTTCCACTGGATATGTTATAAACGAGGACAGATCTGCCTCTATCGACTTTATAATGATGTCAATCATCGTAATAATCAATAATTGAATAAAATTGACATCTGCAGCTATTTTCTATAATAGAAGTAAAAAATGGTCAATAATTGAATAATATTACGGAAGAGAATAGAACAGACTCGGCTCTTGTTTGATATTTATTTTTGAGAGCAAAGTATTAATATTGAAAAAAAAAACTCAGTAGATTATTTTTTTTTTCAAATCATTTTAAAAAATATTGAATACTTATCTATACAGAAATAATATACTGAAATGATAAATGCAATTACAAATGCGTATCCAAACAAGTATTTTTTGTTACTTATTTAATAAAGTGTAGTTTTGAACTTCTGGGTCTTTTGTCATTCTAATATTAAGTCATAGAAATTTTACTGTTAAGTAGATATATATGTATATTGATTTGTGTCATTCAAATCAAATTTACACATAAAACCTAACCTTCAAAAGGCACAAATGTCAAATAACAATTTCATCATAAGTGCAACTTTCGAGTCTTTTTGATAACACATAAGTAAAGTCTAACCAAAGTAAATATTTGGACGTTTCTGCAATTTGGAGGTTCGGTTTTATGTCTGAATTAAATCGAACAGCAAAGATACAGCTTTGTGACACTTCATGACTACCAACTCATACGATTATAGACCCATAACATAGCATCTTTATATTATCCTAGAATTGGCCCCATAGTTTGATTTATACATTGTAACTAAGTTTTTAATTCACTAGACATAAAAATATTATAAATATATAGATTGATTTCTAATATAAACCAGTGGGTATGGCATCGTGCCTTAAGGCAAATTGCTGGAACTTCCCGTACCATAATAAAATATTCGAGGAATATTAAATGTTGTCAAATAGTAAATACTGTAACTTTCATTATTCTTATTTTATAGACAAAATATAAAAGCTTATAAATTGGACGACGACGTTTTTATATGTTTACAGAAAAGCAAATTAACAAAACTTAATATTATTCAAAATTATTTATTTATTTATTTTATTTATTTATTTACTAATACTAATACTAATACAAATATTTTTTAAAAAAAATTAAAAAATAAAAATTTTAAATTCTGTAATATTTTTTTTCTTTTTCCGGAAGCAATTTTTTCGCAAACACAAACAGAAAGTTTTAGGAATTATGTAAATCGCATACTTAATGCTCTCAAAAACTGCAATTTTTTGCACATTAAGCTCCATATTTCCGAAACGGCTGTACCTACTTTTGCCAAAAACTAATCACCACTTCTTCCCATCATTACTTTTATTTTCTGCACTCTTTGCTACGTATCTTTGAAACGGTTGGACCTGCCCCTGCCAGAAACTAATCAGCACATCTCCCTATCAATAGGATTCGAATGTTTTTGAATCACTCAAATCGGTTAATACGTACGTCCGAAAACGTGGAGGAAAAATTGTATCCATACATACATACACACACACATCCATTTTCTCCGAGGTATGCCAAAATGTTCAGAAACCTTCAAAGCGTGAAGATATGCAAAAAATGTTCAATTTCGATTTTTGGACCAATCCAGTAACGTACCCTACGGGGAGTTAATAAGGTATATTGGAAAATGACTAATTTTATGCCATTTAGATATTATTTTTAAAAAATCTATGAAATCCGTATCTGCTAGTAAAGAGCCTAATTATCCTATTAAATTTCCTACTTTAAATTTTTACATTGAACTTCAGTTTGAAATTACATAATGAACGCGAAATCTTAGTTCGTCCAGTATGTGTTCTTCCACTGGAAAATACTACGTGAATGATCGTGAGTGATATATTTATTATTTTTACAATATTTTTACTAATTTTAAATCGATAGTGTTAAATAATTATTTTAAATTTATGCTCGTAAGAATATTGTTAATAATTGTTACTATTTGTGTTTTAATAGGGGTAAGTGTAAAACAAACATTTTTTAACCAGGTGTCTTCTACTTGAAGCACTTATAACCCGAAAAATGGAAATAATCAACTTAAACAATAGGAATTGAGTTATAGATATTTTCAAAATTGTAACGATAAAATTTTTAAGTGTTTACTTCGAAAATAAAGTTTTCGCTTTCTCTAATAAATAATCAAAGCGATTTCCAATTGTTATCTTTAAAACATACTTATAATATCTGTAATTGTATTAATTAAATTAAATTTGTTTTAAGTATTTCATTTTAGGTCGTGTTCTAAAAATGTATTTTATTTAAGCGTAGACGTCAACGGTGATCAGTACAAAAAAGAGCGAAATATATCGTTGCATGTCCTAAGAGTTTGGCGTAATAAATCGTAACACAATCAATTATACTATTAATTATGAAAATACATATCTTTTTTAATTCTGGTGATAAACGATTCAGAATGACTAAAAACACACAACAAAATATACATTGTGCATGTAACCACTTTTCATAAGCCTATAATATTTTAAGATGTTCCTTAGAACAATGAAGTCTATTTCTTGACAAAGTTACATTAAAATCGTAAAAAAATACACAATTAAATACAAAAATACATGATTTTGTTCAACTTTGGTGATACGCGATTCAGAATGACTCGCAACTTCGGAGAACCAAAATGAATAAGTTGCATTTTTCAGCGAAGACAAACTTCTCTAAATAATTTTCGAACAATATATTATCTAAACCCAATTTATAATATTTATATGTGTGTATTGAGAGTTCTACAGTTCAATGGTTAAGCTCACGGACCCGTGTGGACGGGGTCGGAAGCTCAATTTCCGCTCTGGGCAACCTGATGTCGTGCAGTAGCAATGTCCATTCTAAAATATAGATTAAAATTTTATGTTTCCAAATGAAAATAGTCTATTTTGGGCACCGCGGTGTAAAATGGCAATGGGAAATCTGTCACACTAGTCTTTCCTAAATCAAGTTGGAGTTTAACTATATAATATTTATATGTGTGTGTTGGGTGTTCCATGGTTCAATGGTTAAGCTCACGGACTCGTGTGGACGGGGTCGGGAGCTCGTAACCCTCTCTGGGCAACCTGATGTCATTCAGCAGCTATGTCCATTTTCACTTGAAAATATAGATCAAAAATCTATTTCAAACTGAAAATAAGCCCATTTGAGGCACTGCGAAGTGAAATGGCAATGAGAAAAAAAAGTTGTGAGTTTAACTCAGCTCACGAATATTTAATATTTATGTGTATGTTACCTTTTACATAAATGTTCTGCCAAATAAAAAACAAAAATTTAAAAAAAAATGAAAAAAAAAATAATTCGAATTTAATATCCGACTAATTAGAATTCATTCATAAAAGTGCATTTTTTAAATTTTTGCACAGAATTAGCTCATTTTTAACAAATAAAGATTTACTTTTAACAAATAAAGATATTGGAGATAAAGATATTGGATATCTAATTTCAGTAGTTCAATTAAATCAATTTCATTATATCAATATTTGAAATAGATTTATTATTATATTACGCAAAGATTTATTTTCCAATACATTTTGCTAACAAAACTGAGTAAATATTATAACTCTTCATTTTAAACACCACGTCAGGCTAAACCGAACACTTATCGATGAGTATAAATAAAATTAATTACTTTTACAACAAGCGTTCTTGATGTTTGAACAATTGCAAGCGATTTGAAAAACTTAGTACAATTAATATTTTTATAAAGAATTCGATTTTATCATTTACAACAAAAAAAATCAGTCCTGTATCGGCATAAACCTGGTAGACATCATCGCGCATGATGACCCATCAGCTTGGACACCTAAGACAACGTAATTTCTGGACATAAACCAAAACAGCAACATGTCCAGGAATTGAAGACCAGCAAATAAGAAAAATTCGTGCGCCTTTAAAATTATAATTAAATTACTTTTAAGAAAAATCGCAATGAGTCATGCCATATAATTACAATTATATAGCTTATTTTAATTGATTTACTTTTATTAAGGGGGAATTTTGGTCTTTTATTAAGGCATGAATTTTATGAGATTTTTGTAAGACCATGAAAAAAAGGAAAAAAATATTTTACTATCCATTATTTTACAAGTTATTAATTAATATTTTGAGAATTTAGGGAAAAAAATCAAAACAGTCAAAAAGTGTTAATTAAGAAGGTGATGAAGTGGGTGGTCTCAAAAAATTGGCAGGTGACCATACCCATGATTTCAGCCCTCCAAATAACCTGAAGATAAAAATCTGTACTATTAAGGAGGCGTCTATTATTCACGTGATCGATTTTTTAAGGATTTTTGGATTGTCCTTTTTGTATTGCATGTGTATATGAGATAAGTTAATATTTTTTCTAAATGTTTATTTTGTCCTATATTTTTTTATCTACCATCTATACATCCTTTGCTAAAGATAATATTAATTCACTATGCAGTTTGGGTTTTAATTTAGGTTGCGTTTTTTGTAACTACAATGCAATGTGAGGTATGGGTATATATTAGAGTGGGTCGATTTGTATGGGCAAAAAAAGTCGCACAGGCACATATGATTTTTGGATACTAGATATCAAAATAAGATACTTTGCTATAGCAATCATATCTCTAAAATAAATTCTAATGTCCCGTGCATTGACCCAAAGATTGGGTCAAATTTTGAAAAATCATGTTCTGGCTCATTTAAGGCGCCTTAAGTGTCCAAATGTATGACCGACCCCCACTAACTTTGGAAGGTCGATCAACCCATCCCCATGGTTCACCCCCTGGGACTTCCCCTTAGGGGTCTATCATATAAAAATTGCATCATTTGTGGTACTTCAACATGACAAAAATCAGCGATTTATTTTTATTATAAAATTTATTTAAACCTAACATATGTAAATAAAACTTATAAATTATTGCTTGAAGTCTTTTTTAGTTTCCAATCTAGAAAATTTCGCACGGCTCCTCTGATGTCGTATAAATTATTATCTGAAAAAAAATGGTTTTGAAAAAAACATTTTTTGCTGACATGAGTAAAATACCAAAAACGATGATTTTTTGCAATTTTTGTATGGGGCACCTCTAAGGGTGGCCCAGGGGGTACACCATGAACACGATTGGATCGGCCTTTCCATGTTATTGAGGTCGGTTATACATTTGGGCGCAATTGGGGCTCTCTAAATGGGTTAAAACAGAATTTTTCAAAATTCAACCTCTATCTTTGGATCAATGCACGGGAGATCAGAATTCATTTTAGAAGTATAGTTTCCTTAGCAAAGTATCTTATTTTGATCCCTAGTATCCGAAAATCATATCGACGCGCCCTAGTATATATAAATAAAAATAAACTCACCTGACTCGAGAACATATTCATTTTGGTTATACAAATCGTTAACAAATTACCGGCAGCTACACAGAGATACCAAGCACCTAGAGTTATAGTTTTCATTGATTTGGGAGCCTAAAATTTTATTACCAAAAATCAAAATATTGTATGGTATAAAAAACAAATAGGTTATTTAATTAGTCTTTAACCTGAGTGAAGCTAAATTCCAACCCCGAAATCGCAAACAAAACTTCAGCCAAACTAAGGAGAAAATACTGTGGAAGTATCCACAGTATATGGACATTACTGGCAGGTGTGGCTGCCTGCAGCATATTGAAATCTATTTCTCCCTTATCTGTTTCTCTCAATATTAAAGAATACACAGCACCCATTTCCAGTCGCATGTCGAATTCCTGTGAAGCATATTGTACCATTACTCCTGATGATAGATGGTTAGTGGTCAATCGGTAATGGTAGCTAGAAAAAAGTTGATGGGTTAAATTATTGCCTTTGCATTTTATAAAAGGAAAAAGATCCAGAAATTTTATTTTAACACAAGTAAATAAATGGTATACCAAAGTATCTACTTACAAACCAGAACGCAATTCTGTGTACCCAGACACCTTTAATCCTGGCGATATATGACTTGAAGAAAAACTAATTTTTCCCCCATTTGTATCTACAATGTCTAAGGTAATATTCACAAGTTTTGAAGAAGTAACTAAAACTTCAATCCTAAAAGCACAAACATAATTACTTTTTCAAATAATATGTAATATGTTTATTTTTTACCTCAATTTAGATTTTCCTGATAAGGCTTTATCGATTTCCAAAGGCTGTGTTAGTTTTAGAGCAAGTCCATTATCTTCGGTTACGCCAACTAATAACGTGCGCACCTAAAATGTAAAATGATTAATTTTTTTATCACTTTTTAACTATCCGAGGGAAAATCCGACGATTCAAGTTATTCTAAAGCGTTTCAGAAAAAATGTGAAAAAAATATGTGTATGTTAACTAATATTTGACCTTTCGTCAAAACTGCACTGATTTCAAAATTTTAAAAGGCACGTAGGTTCGTTTTGCGCAGTCGAGTCGTTTGTTTACAGTTAATAGAAAAGTGCAAAAATTTTCGTCAACGTTTTAGGCAAATGAAAATAATTTTTTTTATATATCTTTACGTTTCCGATGTTTCTGAACATTTTGGCATACCTTACAAAAAAAATTGATGCATGTGTGTGTGCGTGTATGTATGTGCGAATACAATCGTAAAAATTTACAATTTTTAATTGCAAACAATACAATGTGTCGACGATTTCGAGAACGGATCTACCAATTTGAATGATTCCTATTGATATTCCTTAGATATTCTTACTAATTAACTTCCCGCAGAACAACTTTATATTTCCGCCAAAAAATCCGACTTGTTTCGTTTTTCGACGTTTCAAATGCTCCTGAATACTTTAAGAAGAAAAATGGAAAAAGTATATGTAGGCGCTTGTGGGCCAAAATTTTATATTTTTGGTTGAGTTTGGTTTTCTAAAAAAAAAGAGCTGAACCGATGTCATCAATTACAGTGATATTCTACTTCATCTTTTTCACCAAAAATCCTGATCGTAATAGTTTGTTGAAAAAAAAAATTAGACGATTTTATTGCAACTTTGCACAGTGTTAGTTTATTGAACAAACATTCTAAAATATATTATACGCATACAAAAAGTGGTATAGTTATGAAAATTCAGGGAACGATTCTACCGCACAACAGGCAAATGTTATGGCAAGGCCATGTTACGCTCCAACTTCCATACATTATGTTACTGAATCATACTAGATACTGTCAAAATGTCATGTATTTGCTGTGCATTCAGACGTTTTACACATAAACTGCAACGTCACTCGTATGTTATGAAGCTGAGTCAGAAAGACCCTGTTATCTAAGATCGTTTTTTTGACGTTTGTACAGGTTTTAGGTCAGGTTTTCTATCTGACAACCTGAGGAAATCGCCTGACTGCACAACAACCACATGGCTTTTGTCAATATTCATAACGAATTTGTACGGAAAGTTCTTCCTAACATAGCTTTGCCATATCATTGGTCTGTTATGGGGCAGAATCGGTCCCTCATTAATGTTTTGAATGATAAACAGTTGATTATTAGATTATTTCCATATTTTCGATACATCCATGCAACTTTCCTTAAGAAAATATGGCACTTACACCTATTTATTTTTACCTGCCGTTCGGTTAAGTTGACTTTCAAATGAGTGCCCGGTTGATCTAGCTCTATTTCATCACATAGCATTGGTGCAAAGCCAAAACCTCGTATACTTCCCAAGGATTAGCTGGTAAATTGTTAAATTCTCTACGAGCACCTATAAATTATAATAAAACATAAAAAATATATGGTTAGCATTATCCATTATAATTTAATTGGTCTTACCGGCATCTAATCGTATAGTGTCTTCTAATCCTATAATTTCACATGGGCATGGCAAGGTGTTCACGACATACAGACGTGCTTCTCCTGGTAGAGGTACTTGTGGATACGTGGACTATCAACAAAAAATTAGGGGGAAAAAATATAAATATATAATATGCAAATATTCTTTTAAGCCGTTTTAATAAAATAAGATATTTAATAACGGCAAATATGTTACCATCTGTTGAAAAATTTCGAACTAAATTATTCAAAAATTCAAACTATTGCACAGACACATTATTAAATGCTATACTATACTGTAAATAAATAAACTGGTGGTGCATGGCATCGTGCCTTGAGGAAAATTGTTGGAACTTCCCGTACCGAAAAAAATCGATTTTTGAGATTTTTAAAATTTTTAAAAAAATTGACATTTTTCTCTGTTCTCTCAAAAAATCATTTACCATTTTTGGCACTTTTTGCCCCATATCTTCGAAACGGCCAGACCTGCCTTTGCCAAAAACTAATCAGCATGTCTTCTTATCAATACGAATCGAATGTTTGTTGAATTAGTGAAATCGGTTGATCCGTGTTCCCAAAATCGTCAATGAAAATTTGTATCCGCACATATACACACGCACACACACACATACATCCATTTTTCTAAGGTATGCCAAATAAAACTTGGGATACTCATGAATTAATATAGTTACATCTTATTGATTAAGTCAATTATTTACATAAGTTGGAATGTTCATGCAACTTGCCTTAAGGCGAAATTCCACTTACACATAGTTAAATTTTCATTCATTACAAATATGGAATATTTGTATTTAAAAACGATAAACATGTGTTCCATCTGTTTGAAAATTTATGAACTAACATTATAACTAACTATTCCACGGACACATTATTGAATGCAATTATTATACAGAAAAACCCGTTTAAGACGATTTTTTGTGGCCTTAACAAATATCCAACACGAAAAAGTCTTCCTAATATTATGTTTTCTCAATGTTTCAAACCATCCTGAATCGTTGAGACCAAATTTAGAAAAAGTATATGTACCAATTTTTTACTATTCGTCGACGTTTCCTCAAAAACGGCTGCACCGATTTCAATGTAACTCGATAGAAACTCGTTTACCAGTTTTGCATGCGCTCGTTCTAGCCGTTTCTTTGTAATTAGCAGAAAAAAGTAAAATTTTGCGACCACATTATAGCCAAAAATTCTGGATCAATTTTTAAATTTCAAAAACCGTTCGAATGACATTGGTTAGAAATCGTGCTGATAAGTTTTTGATAAAAATCGGACCAGTTTAACTGTAATTATCATTACTATTACCTGCAACCGCATCTCTAAAAGACCCGAAGCAACAAAAGCCAATCCAGCAACAATACCACCAATCAGCATTCTCTTCAAAGGATTTGGATTAAATCCACTCTTTATGAATAAATGATATATTTGTTCCAAAATTGGTATCAGTAATAAAGCAAGAAAAGGATTGGCTACTTGGGTTTGATCTGGTTGTATCTGGACGCCAAAAATGTTTCCATTCATTCGTGAAGCCTAATAATATAAAGAAAATTAGGCGTTATGCCTTAAATCGTTAACTGTGATTGATAAATATAATTGTCAAAAAACAATTTTAGATTGCTTATATTAATACCAATTCAAAACGAGTTAAAATATTTGGCGCAAAACAGCTTTGTGTTTTTTATTCGCTGGTATCTTTAAAAATACAAGCGTTTTGGGTCGAATTTTTTAATTTGTGCTCCAATTTGATATATATAATAGTATAACAATATTTTATCTTAAAAAGGTTTTTTCGAAACACCATTTCCGAATTTGCTGCACATTACTCAAAAACAAAGGTGATCCCTTCAATTTTTTTCACAGTTCTATATACATTTTCGTAAAAATAACTTCGATTATCGGATCAAAAATCTAATTTTGGCATCAAAAAAAAAAAATTAGTTATCAGTTTTTTTTAAAAAATGCCGTCATTTTGTCAATTTTGATTTTTTTCTTTCGTACTTTTTTCTCTATTATCTGTAACACAACACTATAACAAATACATTTTAAACAAAAATTTTTTGAACCAAAATGTTCAATCAAACTTTCGAAATAATTTCGATTTTGCTCATTAATAACTTCATAAGTCGGGAATTTGATCTTTCAAGTTTTTTACGTAAAATGAATGAGATAATGCAAAGAGGCACATGACTTTTTTCTTAGGGTAAGATTAGCCTAATTCCAAAATTTATGCAGTTGAAGCACAGTAAAAAATTCAGTGGCTACATCCTATTTTCCTCTCCATTTACTGCACTAAAATATTTAATAATATACACTTCAATAGAAATAAACAGATAAACTTTCCATTCAGGTAATATTTTTCATTTTAAATTTACTAACAGTGAACTTTATATCTGATAATAAATTAGATCTTATCGATATAACAGTACATTTCCATTGAAAATAAATAAGTTTCGATATGATAACACTAAAACTACTTTAAGTTTAGACTTTTCAACATATTTTCTCAATAAATAAAACAAATTTTATAGTTTTGACCGAAACGTTCAAATAATCAAATGTAGGACTTCTATAACCGGATAATAATAAAAATACTTTGCCTGAAATGTCCATCTGCTTCCTTGTTGGTCAAAAAGTGCCCAAAATATTGGGAGTGGCAGATAAAGATATAACACTTTCAGTAACACTTTACCGTCATCTATTAAACTTTGATTGAACTCACTACGACCTCTGTCTAAAAAATGTCTTCGAATAGTTGTAGGATTTTCTTCTTGAATATTTCTGTTCCTCAAAGCAAACTGAAAAAGATGATTAATAAAGAATAAAATTCCTAAATTTATAACTGTGTACGAATATGTTTTACTATAATCAACTTGAAAAAGTGTAAGATCTCTTTTGTCCTAGGCGTCTTTCGTCTATACCAAAATTTCCCCATTACAAAAACTCCTGAAAGATAAATTTATATTTAAATATTTTTCAATTAAAATCGTAATAAATAAAAATAGTTACTATTACAAACCAAATGACATCATCATCAAAGACGCAGTGGTTCCAAATCCTAATGTATAACACGTATCCTGATTAAAGCAAGAAAATTTTCTTTTGAAAATGGGGATCACGATCATGCCCGCCAATCCTCCTAGATTTATGGTAAAGTAAAATAATGCAAAGAATACTGCCACCAAATCTTCTTCTTTCGGCAATTGATATTGATCACCACCAAAAGCAGCCACACATGGTTTCATACCACCTGTTCCAACTGCTATGAGAAGCAGTCCGAATGATGTGGAAAACTAAAAAAATAGGGCTAGACATGTTTTTTTGTGAAAATTAATGCTTTTACTCACATTGGCTGTAGTCCTATAGGCGGAGTAGCTGCAAAACACATCAGAATTGTTCCGGCTAAATAAATTAAAATAAAATAGAAGATGGTTCGATATCGTCCTAGAAGGCCATCAGCTATAAGAGCTCCGATTATAGGAAAAGCATAGCTGACCAACATGAAGAGATGGTAAGTTATAGTGGCCAACTGTTCTGGCATCAATAGAACGTTTCGCAAATACAACGAAAGTATTGCTGGATATTAAAAATTACATTATCATAAAATCTAAGATTATGATCAATATTAGATATCACAATTTTGAGTGTTTTGGTCACCAGAATTTTACCTCTAAAAGTTATTGAATTTTGTAATTTCAATCTTACTTACTTCGTAATCCAGAAAACGCGAACCGTTCGAAAAATTCACATGCCACAATACAAAGTAAAGAAGGCTTAAACACATCGTTTTCTAAATCTAACATCTGAAATAAAAATCATGTGACATAGGCATATAATACAAGATAAACATAGAAATTGGCCCATCGACAATTTGCACAAATTGAAACAGATCACAAAACCATCACGAATAAAAAAATATTGTTTAGTAAAAGATCACAATTAAAAAATATTGATTATCTTAATAAATTTTAATTATTCTACTTTCAATTCAATGCATCAGAAAATAATAGCTGATAGCATTAAAACTTTATTTAAACTTTTATTTTTTGATGATATTGAAAATTGTGAATCAAATGAGACGCAAACAGCGTTGAAATGGGGAGAAGAGTGCGGCAAGGATGCTGCATATCACCGATCGTCAACGATGCACTTAAGGGGCACTTAGTGTGAAATTTCAAAAAAATCGATTTTTGTTTTTTTCATATTTCAGCAGATTACACCTTTAAAAATAACATATTGAAATTTCAAATCGATATCTCAAATAGTTTTTGAGTCACAGCCATTTAAAGAGTATACGAGGTGTGTTCAAAAAGTACCCGGAATTACTAATAATTAAATTTCGCGGGTCTGGAGTGTCTGATTGTCAAAAAATTTTTTTTATTGTGTTGGTATACATGCCCCTAAAGTATGATGAAATTTTCAGCTATATTCACTGTTTACTTTGTCTGTGGTAGTCGCTAAGGTTCGACGTGTTTTTCTGAGCTCGGCGATTTTTACAATGGAAGAATTGAAAAGTCAAAGAATTTGTATTAAATTTTGCGTAAAAAATGAAATAAAGTGTTGCAAAGTGCAAAAATTCACCAGATATGGCTCCGTGTGACTTTTTCCTATTCCCAAAGTTGAAGAGACCCATGAAAGGACGGCGGTTTTCCTCGATTGAAGAAAATCGCTGAGAGTGCTCAAGGACATATCAAAAAGTGAATATCAAGGGTGCTTCGAAAATTGGAAAAAACGCTGGCATAAGTGTATTATATCTGGGGGGGACTACTTTGAAGGGGACCACATTAATGTAGACGAATAAATAAATATTTTTTTGAAAAAACGAAAATTCCGGGTACTTTTGAACAGACCTCGTATATATAGTATATAGTATAACGATCATTTTATCTTTAAACGTGTTTTACTCGAAACAGCATTTTATAATTTGCTGCAGTGATTACTCAAAAACAAATGATCCAATCACTATCATTTTTTTACATGTTCTATATATAGTTAGGCGTAAAATGAACTATCGATTTTTTGATCGGATCAAAAATCGAACTTCGGCAGTCCAAAAATGACCAAAATTTTGGGTAAAATTCGACTTTTTTTTTAAACGCCGCCATTTCGTCAATTTTTGATTATTTTTTTATCTTAGTTCATTTTACAGACAATATTATCTTTGAATCTGAATTATCTGAATTTTTTTTTTTTATTTCATCCACGTAGAAGGCCGGAATCACTGCAGCAGTTAAGCGCCTTTTTTTGTCGCGCCGTTGGAGATCGACGATAACTTAAAAATATTTAATTTTTTTCTTCAAAAATTTTACTATGTATTTTTTAAAATATGTAAAAATATTTTCCTAAAATTTTGAAATGATTGATAAAGTAGTTTTTTAATATAAATTCCCAAAAATCACCTTTTTTTAGGCGGTTACACTAGTTGTGCCCCTTAAAGACACTGGACATTTTTCGATCAAAGGAGAAAAAATCACCATAATAAAATACGCCAATGATCTCGTGGTGATATCGAAAACCGAAACCGAGCTAATAAGCAGAATCGTTAAAGTTCCAGAAGATACGAAATGGAGATCAACATCGACAAATCGAAACTGATGTGAGTATCAAAACGAGATGATCATCTGAAGATAGCAGTAGGAAATCGGCAATTGGAAGACGTTGATCATTTCAAATATTTAGGAAGCATTCTGTCCAGAGATTCACAAAGAAGAGAATGCTACTGACGAGCAAACTGAGTCTTGATTTACGGAAAGACTAAAAAGTGCTGCGTCTGTAACATAGCTCTGTACGGATCGGAGATATGGACTATGAGAAAATCCGACAAGAACTATCTCGAGAGTTTTGAAATGTGGTGCTAGAGGCAATTGGAGAAGATAATGTGGACTGACAAAATAACAAATAAAGAAGTCTTGAGAAGAGAAGTCTTGAGCGAAAAAAGAACTCTACTCAGCACGATCCTGAAAAGAAAAGAAAACTGATCAGACCAGTTGCCTCCTGCATGACGTCGTCGAAGGCAAAATAGAAAGACTGAAAGGATTGGAAAGAAGAAGAATGCAGATGATTGACGACTTACGCTAGAAGAAAAAATACAGAGAACTGAGAGCCGAAGCATAGGACCAGAAAGCATGGCAGCAGAAGTTTGGAAAGAAAAATTCATAAAAACGAATATAAAGTGATGAATGAGATAATGAAATGGTAATGGGAATAATGAACAAGGGAGGGGAAGATATTTATTGACTCTGTGGTGCTCTCATATCATGGACCTGCCTTCGGGCAGACTACTAATAAAAATAAGTCGGGTTTTCCTTTCTGACAATATTAACTCCAGAACGCACAAACCGATTTCGACAATTTTGCATTTGTTGGAAAGGTCTCTGGCTTCGCAAGGTTTATTGGTAGGTTTAGTTAGTGATACATGGCATCGTGCCTTAATTCAAATTGCTGGGACTTCACGCACCGTAATTAAAAATTTGAGTAATGGCATTAGTGAGAATTATCAGAATTATGCTTGGTTAAGTCAACGAGCAATTCTTGCCGCAAAGAATAATGATGTACACGCACTGAATTTCACCATTTAATCAAAAATTGCTGGCGATTTGGTGACATAACAATGATTCTGACTGGTCTTCCGTTTGACTTCAAACGATTGCAATTTCCAGTTCGCCTTGCGTTCGCAATGACAATTAACAAGTCGCAGGACCAATCGCTTAGTGTTTGCAGGATAAATTTCAAATAGATTATTTAGAAAATCATTGTTTTTCACATGGGCAGTTATACGTTTCCTGTTCACGAGTTGGGAAACCATCCGCTTTGTTTGTGTTAATGTCAGACCAAAAAACAAAAAATGTGGTTTACCAAAGAGCACTTCAATGAAACGGATAACTTGCGGATTCACTTTCATTTTCCTAGAGAAGTTCAACTAAAATACACTTACACTGTTGTGTAATAAAATCAAATTTTTCCTTTTCAAATATAAAACATAACAAAAAATTTCTTTATCTTTCTCACTTCAAACCATCTGGTGGCGAAACGGAGTTCGTCGCGTTTGCTAGTTTATTAATATTATTAAAAATTACGAGTTTTTCTACATCTCATTACTAGTTGAATAAAAAATTGAATTTACTTCACAAAGGAAAAACCAGTCAAGAGTTGTGTTATTTAAATTTTTTTGCAACATATAAGTTTTGCTTGGTAAAACTATTATTAACTCCCCGAAGAAGTAGATGTCTTCACCAAAATTCCCGATTTGCTAATTTTATATTTTCTTATTGTTTTAAGTCATTCCGAACCATTTGACATCAACATTACAAAAAATATGTATGTGTTAACTTCAAAAACCATTTGATGAAGGATGAGGAGGATCGATGGGGATCACGTTGATTTGTTTTGGAAGAACGATCAAAGTCACAATATTATATAGACCTACGAATAGTGGCACTTATGGTAATTTGCCTCTAGGCACTATGCCATGCACCACCAATTTTATAGCCTTTCAAAATAATAGCGATTCCCCAGTGTGGATGCGGCTTTACAATTCCGATAGTTGTCCATTTTCCGTAAGATGGATATATTTTCTCATCGCACTAGTTTCAGGCGCATCCTCCTCCTTATCTATCATTTATTGACCGAAGCGAATTGACTGATAACAGTGACTCACAATCAGTCTATTTACTCCAAAGTTACACAAGCCGAGATTAAGAGTCGAAAAAATCTCGCTCGAATCCACTGATAACGTGGAATGGTGGTGGATTGCATCGGACAAATGCACCGAAGACGAGTATCGCAATTACAGGTCTGGCAGCGTTGCCAGATTAGCAAGAAAATAGCTGTCTAGAAAACAGAAGATCCAGAAAACATCAAAACATGCAGCTTGAAAAATATGAGGCTTCAAGTAAAAACTAGAACTTTAGTCAAACTTTAACCATTTTTCGATTATTGTGGCTGGTAATTTTTGTTTGTTCCTTTAAACCATAGATTCTCAAATCAATAGGACCCTTTCAGCTTAGCCATAAACATCCACTTATTCGATATCATTTTTTTCATAAATGTCTAACTGTACTGCAGTTTGTTATTAAATATTTAAAGAAACTAGTGATGCCTAGCATCGTGATTGAGACAAATTGCTGGAACTTTCCGTACCAGAAACTAATTTTTTGGGAATTCATGTGAACCACTTTGGGAATCATTGATTTACTACTTTGGTTTAATAACTTTGGAGCCGTAACGTTGAATAACATTTGCTCCAAGTTTTCTAAAATTAAGATCATTTGTTACCTTCCCGTAAGATAAGTTATAGTATAGTAATCGCAAAAAAAACAAAAATGTTTATATATCTTTACGTTTCAGATTTTGGCATACCTTAGAAAAAATGGATATAAATGGTGTGTGTGTGCGGAAAAATCAAAATATAAAAAATCTAATTTTTCAAAAAAGTCTTTTTTTCAAAAATTTCAAAATTTCTCAAAAATTTAATTTTTTCAACATTTTTCAAAGTTTTTTTTAATATTCTAGTTTTCGGTACGGGAAGTTCTAGCAATTTCTACAAAATCCTTTACAATTATAAATCTGGGTCAACAAACAAAATGCGTTCAATAATTCAGCTTTGATTTTCCATCATTTAATTTCAAGGATATCATTATGAAGTTTAACAATTAAATAAATTTGTTTACTAGCAACACGTCATATGAGTAAACAAATTCTGTTCTAATCAAACAATAAACAATGATATCTCGTTAATGTTAATAATATTTTTATTAGTTAGCGCCCGCACAATAATTCCTGATAAAACCGACGGGTCATTTGACCTCTTCATATAGAACACTACATTGAACGCATTGGTGGCACAAGAAAATTTAATTCAATTTGATAGCTATTATTTACAAAAATGATAAATAGAACTGTAAATTTATACTTGAACCATGAATAATTTAAATTTAGCCTAATAAATATTTGTTTGCAACTTTTAGAAAAAGATCCTAATACTACATGTTAATATACATCTAATTTTCTGAATATTTATTTACTAATTGTACCCATTAACGCTTTGCCGTGTTCAACTTTCAATTTAAACAAAAATGCATATTTGTTACATCTAGTCTACCAGTTTTCTTGTATTCCAGTCTACCTGTCTATATGACAATCTGTCTACCTCTCTATCTGTCTACCAGTTTACCTGTCAACCAATTTACCTGTCTACCAATTTATCTGTCAACCAATTTACCAGTCCGCCAATTCACCTGTTTACCAGTTTATCTGTCCAACAATTTATCTGTCCACCAATTTACCTGTCTACCAATTTACCAGTCCACCGATTTACCTGTGAACCAATTTACCAGTTCACCAATTTAATCACCTACGTTCTACATCTCTACCAATTAACCTGCCAACTTGTTTATCTACATATTTGTCTGTCTGCATATTTGCCTATCTACCAGTTGTCTTGTCTACGGTTTTACATATCGTTTAATTTACATGTACACCAGTTTACCTATCTACCAATTTACCTGTATACCTGTTGTACGTACCTATCTATCTACCTATCTATCTGTTTACCTATTTACCTGGCCACGAGTTTATCTGTCCACCAATATACTTGTCAACTTGTTTATCAGTCTACCAATTTAGCTGTCTACCAATTTAGTTGTTGACCAATTTAGCTGTCCACCAATTTACTTGTTCAATAATTTACCTGTCTACCAATTCACCTATCAACTTGTTTATTAATCCACCATCAATTCTAAATTGTGCTTTTTTGTTTGATAAAAAGATTTAATTATTTTATTTATTTATATTTCCAAGTTTATGTTTGGTTCAGGTTTTTACTTTTTTTCCTTTGTATCATTCAAAATTGAGGATCCACTGGTGATGACAGTATTTTATGTCGAAACGTATGAAATAATAAAGATGATTTAGATTCTTCACCTTTTACTTTTTTATATATGTATATTTATATCTACAAACTTTTATAGAACAATTCAAAATGATCAAGAAACCGTAAAATTTAAAAATAGAATAACAAAAATCTATCCCATATAGCTTCGATCTATTTTAATAATCGTCGCCGCCTATGTCGATCTTGGTATTCCGATCCCAGACAAAATATGTTATTGATCAATCTGACCAGACAATGGGACTTAGTCATTGTTTATAACAATTTAAAAATATTTAGTAACAATAAGGTCAATACGGCGACGGCATAGGATTTCTTATCACGAGAAACAGTTAAAGCAGCTGATTTTGAAGAGTCAGGAAAATATTAAAGGACTAGTGGTGTATGACATCAAAACAGAACAATGCTAAAAATAAAAATGAACAAAAAATTAAAATAAGTTTAAAAAAAAATCTATTTGACTTCTTTCATTTTTTGAACTTTTAAATACCATTATGTTTGTATATATTCTCAAATATACAAATTTTTCAAATCAATTCCTTTAGCCTTTTTTATAAAGTTTTTTTTTAATTTATTTTTATTGGCCTCGCATTGAAGCTTTTAGCCATCCACAATATTTTTTTTACATTATACTATTTTTATCATTACATTATACTATCTTGATATATCCTCTATACTATCCAATTTCCTTCACAACTGACTTCTTCATTCTACTTTTTCTTCTAATCTTGCTTCTTTTTCTAAAATCTAATTCCATTCTGTCTCAAATCAACTATTCGAATTTTAATTAATTTCAATCCGACAAACAAATCAAATGATAATTCTATGCCAGTGCTAAGACTCGAACCGAGTATCCCCAAATCGAGCATTCCCAAATTGTTCTCGAATTTTCTAGAACATTTTATTATCTACATATACATAAAAATAAGTCGGGTTTTCCTTCCTGACGATTTAACTCCAGAACGCACGAACCGATTTCCACAATTTTGCATTCGTTGAAAAGTTTCGGGCTCCGCAAGGTTTATAGCTAAGAAAATTAGTGATGCATGGCATCGTGCCTTAACGCAAATTGCTGGAACTTCACGCACCGTAATTAAAAATTCGAGTAATGACATTAGTGAAAATTATCAGAATTATGCTTGGTAAAGTCCACGAACAATTCTTGCAGCAAAGTATAATAATGTACACGCACTGAATTTCACCATTCAATCAAAAATTGCTGACGATTTGGTGACATACCAATGATTCCGACTGGTCTTCCGTTTGACTTCAAACGATTGCAATATCCAGTTCGCCTTGCGTTCGCAATAACAAGTCGCAAGGCCAATCGCTTAGTGTTTGCAGGATAAATTACAAATAAATTATTTAGAAAATCATTGTTTTTCACATGGGCAGTTATACGTTGCCTATTCACGAGTTGAAAAACCATCCGCTTTGTTTGTGTTAACGTCAGACCAAAAAACAAAAAAATGTGGTTTACCAAAGAGCACTTCAATGAAACGGATAATTTGCGGATTTACTTTAATTTACTTAACAAACTTTACTGTTGTGTAATAAAATCAAATTTTTTCTTTTCAAATATAAAACAAACAAAAAATTCCTTCATCTTTCTCACGAAACCATCTGGTGGCGAAACGGAGTTCGTCGGGTTTGCTAGTATTCTATAGATTTTGATTTTTTGTAAACATTTTTATTGATATAATCAAATAGCATTTTGATTGAATGACTATTTGTTCTATGAAAGGCATACATTTTTGTAAATTATTACATTTATTGAACATTGATAGTAAGATGACAAAAACTTTGGAAAATAAAATATTTAGTAAGAAAGAAGCCAAAAATGGAAAAGAAAAGGCAAGAAATTGTTTTAAACACAAATATTATTTGTTTTCAATTTTGGGAATTTTTGAAAATTGAACACTTGATGGCAATCTACATTTTTGATATAGTTACTGAAATATTCACTTTTTACCAGTATTGGTACTTCAAACATTCCTTTTTCTGTAACTCTTAACATTTCTAAATTTGGCAATTTTTTTCAAATGCTTATACAACTCCTATTTTGCTAAATTTCCACTTTAATGGTTCTAGCCCTAACATTATTCTCTTTAAATTGTTGATATAAATTTAATTTGTTCCAAATATTAATACCAATACTATTTCTGGTCCTTATACTTCAACTTTTGGCACAAACTTCATTTTCTTTTAACTTTTTAAAGTTTACTTCTCGGAACTTTACTTATCAACATCTTACCTTTATGAATACTTAGATTTTTTGTGAAGGTACTTTATAATCTAGTAAAAAATACTAGTTCTAAGTGGCATTTTGCTTTAAGGCAAGTTGCATCAAATGTGTTACCAGGAAGAGCAACTATCATCAAGACTAAAGACCACTTACAACTAGTTTTGTTTTACCTAAATTACAATCTGCCTTCACAAAAACTAAGTAATTTTAAAGTTGAGATGTAAATAAGAACAGTTTCGAAAAGTAAACTCCTTCGCGGTTGAATAAATGATGATGTCGCTACATATATTTTATTTCTCACATAGGACAACCAGTAAAATATTCATTCAAAAACAAAATACCGACAAAATTTTGGTATTTCCTAAACATCCTCTAGCATGTTGTGGAGGTGGCTTTATTTTACAATCTTAATAACAAACATAACACCATTGTTATCTTCGTAAAACATCATAAGCACGGAAACGAAACGATAAATCTTCTAGAAAAACAACTCAGAACTTCGTCAGTCTAACACAGGACTTGCAATAAACAGCACCATAATTTTAGAAAAATATTAATAAAATATTAAACGATTTATAATAAATTTAGAATAATTAATAATAAGTGCGTGATATTGATAACCACAAAATACATGGATTAAACTAATTAAAATAAATAAATTAATATTTTAAATATAATGCAATTGCAATCCAAAATCGTTACCTTGTTAATTTCTTTAAAACAGAAGAAATTTTAATTACTACGTATAAAATAATCAAATGCATATTAATATACAAAATAATCGTGATAGTTATTAATAAATTAATTAATAAAATAATTTATTAATGAAGTTTTGAGTGTATGATATCAAAACTTGACACGTGATAAAATTTTGCATTTTGTAGAAAGAAATTACTGTTAAAAATTTTAAATAAATAATTTAATATTTATTATTTAATAAACAGTATTAATATAAATGTGAAAAAATTAATTTAATACTACAGTGTATAACTATTAATTATATCACCAAAACTAATTCATTTCCATTTGTTTGTAATGAGCAAGTTTTTTTTACCAAGATATGTATAAAACTAATTTGAACACAGACAGTAAGGGTCATTTAAAAATTGTTTGTATCTGAAGAAAAATTTCAAAAATTATTAATTCGATTTTTTATCGTAATTTGTTTGATTGTAATTTCAGCTTTGCCGATTTTGAAAAATTTTGAAACTAAACATGTAGCTACAGAGGAAGGAAACAAGTATGGTACTTTAAGTGATAAACAGGTAAGAATTAGGAATTATAAATTATACTAGTTGTATGGGGGGTCCATTAATCACGTAAGGTTTTAGGGGGAGGGGGAATGGTTGACAAAAAATCACAAAATATCACATGGAGGAGGGAGGGGCACAGTAAAGTATCACGTGTGTTTATTTTTTACCTGAATTTAAAAAAAAAAATACAAACATTTAAAAAAAAAATCAAAAATTTTACAATTTTTTCTCCTAACTAAAATGCACGTGATGTTTGTCGGGGAGGAGGGAAAATTTTGAAAGTTACCTCGTATCACCAAGGGGAAGGGAGGTCCAAAAATCCTTAAAAATCAATCACATGATTCATGGAAGCCCCCTTTCGAAGGGCTTTTGAATTTTTCGAAAAAAACGTCGACGAAAGGTCAAGAATTGGCTCACATACGCATGCACACGCACCTACTTCTTTCAATTCGGTCTCATTTGATTCAAAGTGACTCACAACGTTGAGTAAACATAATATTAGCAAATCGGATTTTTTCTCAAAACTTCTCCTTCGGGAAGTTAATAAATATATATTACAATATAAAGTTAAATTGAAAATTGTAAAATACTCTTCAGTTACATCCAACATTTAAAAAGTGGTCAAACAACTAATGCAATAAATTATGTAAAAGGTAGAGTCTAGCAAAATTGATGCTGTTTGATTTTATAAAACTAGAAACTTTACTAATTGTGATTCATATGCCACAGTTTTTTTCTTTTTAATTCAAAAAATTGTTTACAAAAATTTCAAATTGAAACTTATTAATCTTGCTGTCATAGAATTGAATTCTCATAGAACCAAAATAAGTTAAGGGGTTAGGGGTACTTGGAGGCACAAAAAGATGAGAATTTTCAGTATTTTTTTTGTTATTAAACGACGTTTTATGCAAAAAAAATAATACGGCATCATTATACAATGTTTTGACTTGAAGTAACAAAAATTTCAGAAAAAAAAATATTCCCAAAGTTATAGCTGTTTTTGTTGACCCTGTTTCAAAAAACGGTACTGGCGGTGACCATTATAACTCCTTAGAGATTCATTTAAAATCAATCAAATAGACAAAAATAGTTTTATGAATAGATAATCCTAGGCCTGATCGAAGGTTTTCTTTTTTTTGCAAAAATTAACAAAACGGCAGCATCAGAAAAAAAATCTAGATTTTTGGGTAAAAAATCAACAGTTAATTGGTCTTAAAAAATTGAAATTTTTGAAAAAAAGAAAATCCTTCGATCAGGCCCGAGTTTATTATGTATTCTGAAAGCTGCATAAATTTCATTAAAATTTACTAAGCGGTTTTTGAGTTACAGTGGTCACCATGTGAAGTTTCACATTGGTTTTACGTACAGAAATTCGAATTTTTGAATTACTTAAACTGAGTCATCTATTTCTGGGCCATATAATAGTTCATCAGTCAATGTGCAAGTTTCCAAAATTTCCATTTGCTGTTGCCTACGAAGCATTTTGACCTCTCGAGGTGTCCTCGTTGGCGCGCTGATCCTGCCACTTTCATACGTGCAGCATCCAATTTTTCAGCATACCAATGGTAATTATACCCACAACTAGGTCCTAGGGTATCCATAATCAATAATAATGATTATGTATATTCATTCAGCAATTTGTACGATAGTAGAACTAGTATTCACGGTTTTTAGGCATATTTTTTACACTAGTTGGTTGAAGCCTTTAATTTTTCTGATTATGGATTCAATCTTGAACTACACATCTTGAAAGTAAATTATCATTGCTGAGATCGTCGTAAATCGGTTTAAAATCTTTTAAAACATCAGGAAGTGAGGGTGCATGAGGGTGCTTGAGTATAAGTATCGAGCTCTCCACTTGCGTCAACGCGCTGGTAAGAGTGCAATTCATCGGATCAACTTGAAATTTTCAGAGAACATTTTCAAGATATTACACTTAATGAAAATGCAAAAAAATAAAAATCGATTTTTCAAAAATTCCAAGTACCCCTAACCCCTTAAGTAATACTTCACTTTTCTTTCTTTGTCATTCTATATGTTTTCAGTCACTAACATTCACTTTTAAAATTTATATAAGCTATTTTGTTCCATTACGACACTTTCCATGTAAGTAAACAATCATTACCTTAGACACTGATCACAAATCCTCTTCAACACATGTTTTTCTTTACTATTTTTTCAATGTTACAAGTATCTCAAAGCTCACGTTTTCATTTTCAGACTACAATTACTTCAGATGCACATAATAGCGAGAAAAATGACGCGAAACTACCAAAATATCCAGTCGCCGTATACTTTGTGCTCGGATCCAAATTTTTTGAATCCTTTGCTGCAAATGGAGTCAGGAGTAAGTTGATTGGGAATTTACTTTAGATTTACATTTGTTATAAAATTAAAACAAAATCTGATTGAAGATGCAATCTACAATCATTTAATATTATTTAAAAATTTAATATTTATTTCCATTGCAAGCAGTTTGCGATTAAAACAAATTGTAGTAGGAAAAGTACGGACAAAGTGACAAATGAGCAAAATGACAGTAGCCTTATTTAAAAATTGACTAGTTTTAGTAATATTTCCGCTACTATATAACATGGAGAAAGCCATAATCACAATCATGTCAGATGTTGGGCGTCATTGTTCAAACGTTTATCGCTACTTCAATATTTTGATGGTGGTTTTCTCATGTTTCTTATGTCAGTTGACATGAAGGTGATAAGCAAACGGGCACGGTATTGTTTTGTTTTAGTAAAAATAATTTTGATTCATATGGCGTACGTTTTTGTATTTTAATTTTTTAGTGTTTTTAATGCTCTTTGTGCCAAAATTATATCAAAATGATAAACGCACGACTAGTGTTTCTTTTTGCATCAGTCGTATTACCGATTTCAATAATGGCGGATCCCCAAGAGTTATCTACGAGTATCAATCAGTTTGCTGGAAACCTGTACAGCACGGTTGCTTATGACAACGAAGAAAATCTTATCATGTCCCCACTGTCTGTACAAACTTCTCTGTCGCTGGTATTAATGGGAGCTTGTGGTAATACTGCCACACAAATAGCTACTGCTTTGCGTCAGCCTCAATCAAAAGAACAAATCCAAGATGACTATCATGCATTGATGAACACTCTTAATACACAAAAAGGTGTAATTCTGGAAATTGCCAATAAAGTTTATGTAATGGAAGGCTATAGATTGAAACCCGCCTTCAAGGAAATTGCCGCCAAGAAATTCTTAGCTGGAGCAGAAAACTTGAACTTTGCGGAAAACGCTGAAAGTGCTAGGGTTATCAATACTTGGGTTGAAAAAAAAACTCATCACAAAATTCTTCATTTGATCAAAGCCGGAGATATCGATCAGAATGCAAGAATGGTTCTTGTGAATGCATTGTACTTCAAAGGCCTCTGGGAGAAACAATTCGAAATTGAAAATACCCAAGATAAACCTTTCTATGTTACTGAAACAGAGACAAAGAATGTAAGTATGATGCACATTAAGGATAAATTCCGTTATGGCGAATTTGAACAATTAGATGCCAAGGCTGTAGAATTGCCCTACAGAAGCTCAGATTTGGCCATGTTAATCATTCTGCCAAATAGCAAAACTGGTCTGTCTGCTCTTGAAGACAAGTTACAGGATGTTGATTTGCATAACTTGACTAGACGCATGTACGCCGTTGAAGTTATTTTGAATCTGCCTAAATTCAAGATTGAATCTGAGATAGATTTGAATGAACCTCTCAAAAAGTTGGGTATGGCTGATATATTCGTTGCTGAAAAAGCTAACTTCAAAGGATTACTTAAAGGAGCTGATGAGTTGCTATGTATTTCTAAAGTAATACAAAAAGCTTTCATTGAAGTAAATGAAGAAGGTGCTGAAGCCGCAGCTGCCACAGGTGTTCGTTTGGCCTATAACACAGCTCCAAGATATTTTCACCAAGAACCAAAATTCTTTTATGCCGATAGGCCTTTCTATTTTACAGTGATGCACAGGAGAACGACGCCTCTGTTATCTGGTCGAGCATGCTCGCCTTAGATCTAATTGAATCTCTGGATTAATGAAGTGATTTTTCTATAATATTTTTAATAGTTATTAGAAAAATAAGTTCATTCTTTGTAAATCGCCTGTTGTAGTTTTCACTTTCTATTAAAGTAATCACCAAATATTGTTGTAGTTTATGTAATAAAAATTTTAATTGTAAAAAATGTTAAAATGTTTTTGGTGACTTATTCAATGTTATTTGTAATTATTTGTATTAAATTCAATGAACTTACTAGTAAACCAATACTAGTGATTTCGATCAATTTCATTGCAATTGTCAGATGCTTTATAGAATTTTGATTATTCATTCATTTTTGTTCACTTTCGGTCAAAATGAAATACTTATGCAATGAACAAACTGACATAGTACTATTTGGCCAAAACTACAGGGTAGTTACTTCGAGGCCAAGAAAAGAATACTGAAGCCTGTCAGAGGTGATTAGCTTTTATCTTCTACTCTAATTACTTCTAAAAACAAACCAAAAAATCCACCGGTAAAAAAAGAGACTTGTATTTATTGCAAAACACTCTTTTCATCTTTTGATGGGATTCGCCCGTAGGTAAGCGGTTGAGAGCGATGGGACCTGAATCAGAGGTCCCGGGTTCGATACCCACTTCGAGCAGCCCGTTGTCAGGCAGCAGTGACAACAATTTTCACTTGAAAATATAGATAGTAATATGTTGCCAAGTAAAAATAGCACTCACCCGGCGTTGCTGCACCAATAAAATACTCGCCCTATTACAGAAATTGTAATAACAACTGATTGGGTTGCCATCTGTCAAACAGACTAGTATTAAGTCAAATCAGCACAACAGCTTATAGGACTATTGGGTTCAGATCGCTGTTCAAAAATAATAAAATAAAAATCTTTTGATGAGCCCGGCGAAGATTGGTTACGATGTATGGCCTGTTCCCTTTCAAAAGACGACCAAATGATTTCTTTGTGTACTGTCTTCTCAAAAATATGTTTTCCTTTTTTTTCTTGTGAACGCTTTAAATTTTTTGTTTGCGAAAATGATGGTATACAATTGGAAAATGTAGTCCAAAAATCTTGATGGCAATGTACGCGGACGCTCTAATTGCTGCATGTTTCTGTCACTGGCCACTATATTATTAGTAACAATAATTCCTAAAAAGAACCGTATCGACATAATAAAAAAAATAAGCGTGTGAATATACCATCCAGGGATAGTGGCCAGAAAAATTTTGCGCATGTATACAATAATGATGCAAATGTTGATTTATTTACAGCTGTCCTCGCCTTATATCTCCGAGACTCCATCGGTCTGTCAGAAAACACATCTACGACAGTCCTTCACATTTTCAACTTCTTTAGTCAATTCACACCTGTTTTCGGAGCAATTTTGGCAGACAGTTATCTCGGAAATTCTAAGTAAGTTTATAACAAACAACATATATATAACACTAATAATATATATAACACTAATTCTTATTTTCTCCATGTTTTTCAGTACGATATTCTATACATTCTTTCTGTATGGCCTGGGCTACACGATTCTATTCCTGGTGACATGGCCCATACTGACGTTCAAAATTGTGCCAACGGTGTTCACTGCATTGCTACTTATTTCTTTAGGTAAACAAAATAAAATTTAAGCCATAGGTAAAGCACACTTAATTTATGTTTATCCAGGTAACGGCGGAATACGAGCCTGCGTCACCTCATTGGGAGGTTCTCAGTTTACTCTACCTCAGCAAACCGGAGCCCTAGACGACTATTTCTCACATTATTACTTCGTGTACACGATGGGGGTTCTCTTGAGCAAAATTGCACCCCCGGCAGTGAGAGCAGGGACTTCGTGTTTCCATATGACGGATTGCTATACGGCTGTTTTTGGGCTGTTGGCTGGAGCGTTTTTGCTCGCTTGGGGTATGGATAAATCATATATATATATATATATATATATATATATATATATATATGTATATATATAATAAATAATGGTAGTCTGTCCAAGGGTAGGTCGTCCATGGTGTGAAAGCACCACAAAAGCAATAATTTCCCTTCCTTTGCTTGTTTATTATTTCCATTGTCATTTTATTACCATTATTCACTTTTTCAAAAACTCTCATGCATTTCCATTTCCAAACTTATGGTCCAAGCTTACTGGTTCTTCGCTTCGGATTTTAGTACCCTATATTTTCTCTTATTGCGAAAGTCATCAATCAACTGCATTTATGTTCTCCTTCCCAGTCCTTTAAGTCCATTTATTTTACCTTCGGCGACATCACGTAAGAAGCACTCTTTTTGCAAAATGGGTGAGATCCAATTATTTTTTCTTTTTAGGATCATGCTCAGTGCAGTTTTTTCTCTACCCACTCAGAACTTCCCCATTTATTATCTTATTTGTCTGCTGTATCTTCTCCAATCACTGTCCAGCACCACATTTCTAAATTATCCGGATAGTTTTTGCCAGCCTTTCTCAGAGTCCACGCCTCTGATCTGTACAGATCTATGCTCCAGACATATCACTTTATTAGTCTTTTCCGTAAGTCAAGACTCGGTTTGCTCGTCAGTAACCTGCTCTTTTTCGTGAATGCCGCTTTGGCGCTTTCAATCCTTGCCCTGATCTGTCTCGGCAGTATCCGTTTTTGGACAGCCTGCTTAAAGTACTTGAAGTGATCCACATCTTCCAATCCTCGATTTCCTGCCGTTATTCTCAGGGACTTATCTAGTTCCTATATTCCCATCTCCAACATTTGTGGAAATTGATCTCTATTCCGTATCTCCTACCCACTTCGGCGATTCTGCTCATCATAAATATATTTATAATGTGAATAAATAATTAATTATTTCAGCTGTGTTTTTGTTTGGTCTCGCGTATTACAGAGCCCAAACGCCTTCAGGAAACAACATCTTTGCCAAAACTATACGATGTGTCTTGGTGAGTAAAAAATAAGCCTAATAGAAATAGTTCAACTATATTTAAATATCTCACTCTAAACACTTTCCCTGACAATCTTATTTGAAACAGATTTATAATTTATATTCCACAAGCATGATTTTATGTAATCCTTATACTTTCGGCAGCACGCTTTGGTCCAGAACGCACGCGGAAGGAAACCATCAGACGCCGAACACTGGCTGGACAGCGCGCGATCTAGGTACGGCCAACGTTTCGTTGGCGATGTTAAGGCCTTCATCAAGGTCCTAGTATTATTCCTACCTCTACCCGTCTATTGGTCACTGACGGCCCAACAGGACTCAACATGGACCTACCAGGCTGCCCAATTGGACACCGACTTGGGATTCATGAAAGTCGAGCCGGACCAGGTGAGATAAAAGATTTAAAGATAAAAACAAGAGGCATATGACTGATTTATTGTTTCCTCGCAGGTGAAATCTCTAGGCCCGATTTTATTATTGTTGTTAATATTATTCATGAGCCAGTTGTCAATTTTGTTTGATAAGCTGGGAATTTTACAAACGTCTCTGGACCAAGTCAGATGTGGTGGAATTATGGCCGTGTTGTCCTTTTTATCAGCTGGAGTATTGCAAAAATTCATAGAGGTATATTATTAAAATTTATATCTCCCACTCTCTGGTTTTATTGATGTATTGTTCGGTTTGTCCAGAATAATTCTTCGTCAAGAAAATACAGTGTATTGTGGCAAATTCCCCAGTTTTTGTTGTTGATGTTGGGTGAGGTTCTGTTGTCCATTCCAGGACTGCAGTTTGCTTTTACACAAGTAAGTAAAAAAGAAATGACAGACGTAAAATTTAAATTTTATAAAAAACACTAATATGTGTGTATAAAATATTGCTTTAGGCCCCTAAATCAATGAAGTCCGTCCTGACTGCATTTTGGTTCGTCAACAACGCTTTAGGAAATTTAATTGTTGTGATAATTACAGAAATAAATTTAATAAAACTGCAGGTAAGATTTTGCAAATTTGCAGATTTTTGAAATCTAAACTGCAGGTAAGATTTTGAAACAGTTATTTGATTCGCTGCGTAAAAACAAGTAAAAAACAAACTAAAAATTAAGAAGCGTGAGTTATTGCACTATTTTAAAATACGATATAATTTACAGACTAAATATCATCACGATTTTTACTTTTCATATAGCATTAATTTTTAACTGTCTGTAGGGATTGCTGATATTAATTATTATATAATCGAAAGAAAACAGGAATAAATGATTTATATATTTAGTCATTTTTTTTGTCAACAAAACTACCCAGACGATTCTTTATCACGAACTAATCAGCACAATTCCCAACGATTTTCAACTCATATCTTGAATTTTCAAAATCAATTCTGAATGTTCGGCAAAAACGTGGATGCAAAGAATTGCACTTATCAGCTAATTATAAAGCATCAATCGATGCAGCCATTTTTATAGAACTTTAAAGAAAGATCAAATTCTGGCTCACATACACATTCTATTTAATGTCAAACGATTCAGAATGTCTTGAAACAAAATTAACAAATTGGATTTTCTGGCAAAACCTTGCATGTTCGGGGAAGTTAAAAATAACAGCAATATATTTTTATTCCAGAGTGACGAATTTTTCTTGTACGCAGGCCTGATGGCCATAGGAATAACATTGTTCTCGATGATGGCATCGAGGTACCGAATGAGGCAAGAAGAACAAATGAGCATACCGATTTACAAAAACACAACACCGACAGAGGCCTGAATTGAAAACATTTCTATTTAAATTTAAATAATGCATTTATTTATTATTACAATATGAACGGTTAAGTAACATTTGAATTCCAATCTTATCCAACTTAGGATTGCAAAAAATAAATGTAAAATTGATTTATTTTGTGAAAAGTTCTGATTAAGAATAAAGATGAATATAAAAATGAAACGTTTTAAGCAGTTTTTTTTTTCAAATCTCTCGAACAAAAAATGTGTAAATTCAATATTTAATGTAGTGCTTTTATGTTCCGCAGGACTATAATTTCGATTAGTTTTAGAAAGGTAATAATTCACAAACTGAAAAATACAAAGCAATCTCATGTCTCATTTATGACTCAAATTGAAACGAAGCAAAATGAAAATTAACTTTTTTTTTTACAAAAATATTACTTGCTGATAAGTTCAAAAATTGCTCAATGTTTTCAACATATTGAAGTTTATTTATGATACATAATGTTTTCCAAATATTGATTTTTTTTTATTTTCTCCATTTTTGGTTACTTTGCATTTTCTGCTCTGATTGCGTCGTCTTTTAGACTAGTCAAGAACGCTGGTCATATTATGTCAATGCAGACGAGAAACATCTGATTTGAAATCATCTGTGCAAAGCTCCCGATTTGATGAGAATATATCTCACCATTGGGTTGCTCCAATTTACCGTTCTCTTATGGTTTTTATAACCCAAATGCAAGACACCATCAAAAATTATCCTGACACACTTATATCACACGTCTATCTTGACATACATATATCACACGTCTTTGAAAATAATGGCTACAAAAACTTTATTAATTAGCACACTCAGAAAAGCCCCAATAATTTCTTTTATCGTCGTCCACATAGAAAAAATTGCTGCCGAAAATCCATCCATTATTTCTGCCGAACTTTATATAATAATTCATAAAGTATTCCAAAAGAATTCTAGAAAACAAAAATAAAATATTCCAAAATGATTCTTAACAAGGTTTTCATTAGATAATTCTCGGTTGCTCGATATTAGCAGTTTCTTAATGTCAGTTTACATCAATTTTAAACAAAAATTGAATGACTTGAACCCCAAAACGATGAAACTTACAAAATGAAACATAAAAACAAAATAAAGCAAGAGTAAACACCTAAGATTCATGTTAGAATCGGTTTCACCTTCAAGGAAAGCAGGATTTTTGAATAATGAATTCACATAAAATGAGTAAACTTGTATTAGTAATTTATTCATTTATCGTGTCACATACATATTCCTGTTTGAATTTAGTACAATAATCTACCATCAGTATTTATAAAGTCTCTCTACAATGCTCTCAACAAAGCACAAGTATATTATTCCATAGGCTAGATTTGTATCTACCACTTCTTAAACATTAAATTTTAGTTACACATTTTATATAATTTACATTGAGAAGAAATTATAGATGACAAATAACATAAAGACTTGTTTTTCATGGCATAAATTTAATCCTTATCCTTAAGTTAAATAAATAAATATGTATTAGCAAATGACTAAATGTTAGAACTAGTGAGCAGCTATTGAAATATAGTACATGACACGGCGCAATCCAGTTTCTTATTTAGTTCTAATATATATATGTAAATAATAAATAGAATAAAATTTTGGTAAATGAGCTTTACAATTCATGACGCCAAAATACTAGATTTTTATATAAAATAATTAGTATAACAATAACATATATTTAAAAAACATGACGATGATACCTCTTAGTGTAACAAGGCACCCAAACAGAGGCGATCGAAACTAAAAAATAAACATTTATTATCTACGTTTTATATACTTGCAAACTAAAACTTGCACTACATTTTCTTGAAAGCCTATATTTAATAATCTTGGAAATTCTATTTTTCTTTATCATACAATTTAAGTTGTGTCGGATTTTGTTTCAAAATCAAATACCCATATTAAAAACACGTGAATAATGGTCTGTATGAATGTTCTATTGAGACTATTGCAAAAATCAATATATACAGTGTTAGGAAAAGATAGTGTGTCCATTATCGGGCCAGTTCAAATTCAGATATATTTATATATATTGGATATTTTGTTTGTTATACTATACAATTTCGTTATGTTTGCAATTCACTCCGATGTTTTTGTGTAAGATTTTCAAAGTATAAACTTTCCAATTATAAACCCAAAGATTCCAATAAAAACAGCAATGCCTATCAAAAACGGAGATACTTGCTGCTGGTTTGCTGGAGGGCTGTAAGAATTTGTGTGCTGCGCAAACTTTGCTCCAGAACTACTTGCAGAACGTAGCCGTGAGACCTCGGTCTATAGATGTAAAGCACACATTGATTCAACACTACTCATTAGAAAATATAATGTAAACGACAATGATGTAAGTATTTTACCTTGAGCATATCATTTTCACTTTTCCACACCCTTTCTTCTTCCCTCAAACGAGCAAGTTCACTTGCAACTTTTTGCAACTCGGATTCGGTAGCTTCCAGCTATAAAACAAACGATAATTCAGTAAACCGTTCCCCTAGTTCAGGTGTTGAAAGAGAATGAGAGGATGAAAACTGATAAAAAGGATGATTCGAACTCACAAAGAATATATATTAACGCACCATAAGCTGGTAAAAATGCCCGACCCGAAAACCGTTACCTTTCAGCAGGCCGAGTATTTTTACCCATTTCAATGTGAAAACTTAATAATGCGCGGGTCCATCATAAGTATCTCAAAACCAAAGTACTGGTAACCCTCATACAACATGGTAGTTATGTTCCAGAAAACTAGCAAATCCGTGTTATAAGGGACAAAAAACTAGTACAAGAAGAGAGGTTATGTTCCAAGAATTCAAAAAAACATGCTACATATCATAATTTTAAAATAAATATTGTCATTTTTTTTTTTTTTTAGAAGTAATATACATTACTTGAATTTTATGATTTTTTTCGTCACAATTAACAAGTAAATGCTATTCAACATGTTTCTTATTTTGCAAGATATCCTCATACCTCTGAGCAGTGTTCTATACTACTATACTACCTCCAAATCCGCACATTATTTTTTGCAGAAAAAATTATATTTGCGATTACTTGCTTTTAGCAAAATGATATTTATATATTTAACATGTGTAAAGTAATCTTTATTAAACTTTTATGCTCATTTTATTTAAAGAATTGCTTAAGAATTATTAGCTAATGCAAAATAGTAAACAACAACATTAAGTAAACAACTAGTCTCCTCAAGGAAAAAAATGAGATATTAAAAGTTAAAAAAAAAAATTGCTTCATTAGGAAGTTTATATGTTCCGTACCATTTTTAGGAATAAAGATTAAATTACAGAAATTTACAGATCTGGAGGCTTGCAGATAAAAAAGCAAAATAAAGAAAAGTTTGATGATTTGGACAAAGTTTTACTGAAGTGGGTTCAAATCAAACACAAGCTTTAGAAATGCCTATAAGAAGCCCCAAATAGGAGATAAAAAAGCTAAAGATCACTGACTTTAATGCTTCAGATGACTGAATAGATTATTTTAGGAATTGCAATGACTTTATGTCTAAAAACATTTTCAACACATTACTTTTTAAATTAATGCCACATAAATCCTAAGTTTTCAAAGAAAAACTGTTCATGAAGGTAAAAGTAATCAAAGTGAGATATATGTGTAAATAAAAAAATATAATATCTTGAATAGAATAGTCATGTTTTCAAATAACTTGCAGAATGCACTGCAAAATTTGAATTATGTTGGAAATCTGCTGATGCAACTCAACTATCAATTATAATTACATTATAACTATTCCCGCTCATAATGTGTTAATTTTGACAACTATACATCATATGCATAAACAAACTCATATACTGGTAATAAATTCATCTCAAATCATATGGTTTCAAGCAATAAATGTTAAATAAAAAATGCTCTTACCTTTGGTTGAATCTTATTATTATCTCCCATACTCTTAACATTATCATCAACTGCATCATATCCTTCTTGCGAACAGACTGTAGCATTTGTTGTGTATGAATTATCACTCTTTATGACTGTGCCCTCCGGCAATTCGAAAACACATTTAAGTTTACTGTCCATGAGTTGTTCAGGCTTTAAATCCTTCCACTACAATAATAATAAATAAATCCATGTTTAATATCATTTACAATTATTTTTCCAATAGCATATTTGTTGTGAATTTTTACCAGTGCTTCGATATTTGTTTCGCCTTCTGGAGCAATGACTGTTTGAACCATGAATTTATGCTTGTTCTTTTCTTGCGGATCATATTTGAAGGGTTGAAGACAAACTAAAAAGGTAATATTTGGAATTGAACCACTTAATGCTAGAATTGAACCACTTAATGCTAAGGTTTTTTGTAAAATGAGGTCAAAAATTAAGCAGTTTTTGAAGTAAAACTTCTTTAGGCGTGTCTAGGGTGTAAATCCATACAAATGCAACGGAAATAGCGTTACGCCCGAACTGTACGTCATTCGCTCTCGATGAAATCATTTCAATACAGGTCGATTGTGATTAGTCGTCATGTGAATAGAGATATGTCGTTGTATGCGTACCGACATCAACAAGGAAATCGGCTTAGATAAATAAACATTTTAAAGTTACATCGTAGCACAAATCTTGATTTAATGAAAAATGCCTGAATCAGAAGAATATTTTACCCTGTTTCTTAAGAATAATAAAACAAATTAAACATTTGTGCCGTGTACTAAATGTAAATTTATTGATTAGAAATTTTTTCTATATTATTCGTAGTTTTTATAAATCTTTGAAGTTATTAAAATGGAAAATATTTTTAGGCAAGGCAGGTATTACAGCTGTTCAAAGAATAAGATTATATCGCTAGCAAAAAAGTAAAAAATTACAAGCAGTCAATGAATGTATATTAATTTTATCACATGAAGTTCTTACATGAAGTGGTTAATTATGAAGTATAATGAATAATATTAAAAGCGATATACTTACTTGCCACTTCAATTACACCCTTCGGATCAACTGCACCTGAGTTTGGCCTGACACAATATTTTTTAGGTGCAGTAGTTTTAATCTTAAAAAATACTTTCTTTTCGGATGGATTTATTAGCTTCATATACGATGTGACTGGCACTTCAAAGGGACCTTAAACAAAAAACAATATATTATAACATATATATATATATATATATATATATATATATATATAATTTAGATAAGCAGTGGGTTCTTATGAAATAAGATATTTCTAAACCTGGTAGGTTTCCAATAAGAACTTAAAACATTACTATAATTGAAATTGGAATCTTAATTATACAAATAATGACTACACATATTGTTAAATGTAGTCCTTAAGAATATAATACTACTGAAAGATTGTGTTATCAAAATATTGTCAAATAATATTGGGTGCATAAATTTGGATAAATATAGCTTTCACCCCAACACTTTATTAAAAAAATTTGGTTTATCTCTTCTTGCCAAACAACGATTTTTCTGTACTATTATGTTCTTATTTCAACTTTGCAATAATGCTATAGACTGTCCTCTAATACTTAACCAACTATCCTTTAGTGTTCCTAGGCTATCTTCTCATGCACAATTTTTATTTTTTCATTATCCTACTCCTAAATATAATTCTCTCTTAAATTCGCCTATTCTACTTATGTCCTATAAGTTTAACTTAATTAATAATGACATAGATATTCATAACACTTCACTTAATCAAATAATCTCCATCTGCTCAAGTTAACCTTTTTATTTCTTTTCAAATATCTTATTATTTTATCTTATTCTATCTAAATAAATAATATTGTTACATTCTGTATTATATAATTTTGTCTTGAGTGCATTATTAGTTTTACTATAATATCATAAACACTGTGGTGCACTATTTTGAAATCTCAGTAAAACTTTTGATCATGTTCCACATGATATATTTCTCAGGAAATTAGAATATTATGGATTGAAAGGCGTAGCCCTTAAACTAATGCATTCATACCTAAGTAACAAGTATCAGTTTGTAGAATGGAACAATAAATGAAGTGAGATATCAAGATTAAATGCAGGTGTTGCCCAAGTGAGTATTCTTGGACCACTTCTCTTTATCATATTCGTGAATGATCTACCACCAAACATCAGCTTCCACACAATGCAATTTGCAGATGATACAGCATTGGCAGTTGCAAACGAGAGCATTTGCAAATATGAATGAAAAAATTCAGTATGCTCACAAGCAAGTTAAAAATTGGTTTTCAGCCAACAAAATTGTACTGAACAATAGAAAAACAGTACATATTAACTTTACTTCCAATAGGAGACACAAGGATCTGCATAGAGGGGGTGCATACCTCCAAGATAATGGACTGACAGAAGAAAACTGTGAGGGCAATTGGAGGGGCCTCGTCTCGGGTGCACTGCAAACCCTTGTTTATTAAATTTAGAGTACTGACTGTTACCAGCCTTTACATCTACCAGCAGGCGATTGTGGTCCATGCAGACAGAACAAACCATGTACAGAGGAGTGCAGTCCATGGCCACAACTAGAGCTGAAATCCTCGCAAAGGAGCAAGCTAGGTGTCAAGATCTACAATAGGCTTCCCAATGAGTGGAAGAGTAAAAGCAGGAATGGTTTCAATGCTGCTGTTAAAAAACATCTTATAAATCAACCTATCTATTCAATTAATGAATTTTTGAGTCCAACATAAATATTAATTGTCATTAGGTTAATCCTAGGGTTGTTCATAAACATAACTAATATTATCTATCTACCTATCTACAAACTCTTAATACCCTAATTTTCTCACATAATATGTAGTTTTAATTTGTACACTTTAAAATGTAATTACATTGTGTTGGACTTAAAATGTAGTTACATCGCCTTGGACGTTGAATAAATTAATAAATAAAAAAAATAAAAAAAGATATCTGATGTCATTAAGAGATATTTCTATCGGGCATTCTAACACTGTCAGTTTTACAACTAACCTAACATAAATCAAATTTCAGAATGTTTTCCACAAAAATAAGCACTCAACAAACATAAATACAAAGTTTTTAATAAAACAATGAAATGCATTTGATATGATAACATCATGTCAAATCAAAATCACTTCGTCCAAATCAATGTCACTAATTATAATTTCACCCCAAACACATCATAAATATTTATTACAATGTAATCATTTTTGACAGCTAATTTATTGATGACATTGTAACGTGAGATATATATCTGATTGAAAAAATGCATGGTAATGCTAATGATGTAAAAGCTGCTCACTAACTAAAGACCTAGCAAATATTGACAAAGTTGTAATAACTAATTAAACTTTTTGCGACATCGGCGTATATTTAAACAATGCATGTAAATAGTAAATACTCATAGTTAAAACAGAGTTAACTTGTAATATTTGTTTATAATCATTGCAAGTATGCAACATTATTTTTCTCCTCTCACCTCTGAATTTCAACTCGTTCTGTGGATCAATGACCAAAATCTGTGCTTGACTAGGTTTTGACATTATGGCTAATTAATTTCTGCCTCGTTTTATATTATTGTTAATCTTCAATTTGTCTTTTTTTTCACAGTACAAGTGTTGAGCCTTTCAGCACTGAATTTGGCAAGTAATCGTTGCGCATGCGTCACTTTGGTAATATGGCCGTCTTTTACGTTGATAATATATATCACATATATTAGATATAAACACGGCGCTTGACTAATAGCCGAGGACACGAAATTAAAGTGCAACAACTGTCAGTAAAATTGCGATTAAAAGGAGCACCCCTTAAAATTTAATAACATGATCATTACTTATCATAAATTTTGCACAACGTACCGTTGAAGACAAACATTCGTTCGAGAGGGTTGGTAGTTAAACTGTCCTTCTTATCGACGTAAGTGAAGTTGCGGAGAGTGTGAAATGGGCGCGGAAAAAGATTAATTAAATACAAGAAAAAATCGGAATAAATTATAAAAATAAATTTTTTGTGCGGTGCTTTATTCCAAAAATCACTTTAGAAACAATTGACAGGCTATAGAAAGATTTGACGCATAAAAAAATTTTGTCACATCTTCAGCGCTTCATGCGGAGTATCTTGTAACTAATGTTATTTCTATTTCTGAATCCTAAAAAATATATCTTAAATTAAATAAAACTGGTAGTGCATGGCATCGTTTCTTAAGGCAAATTGCTGGAACTTTCAGAACCGATATTTAAAAAAAAAAAAAAATTAATTTTGTTTTGTAATTTTTGAAAAAAAAAATGTTTTGCCTGTCCCTAAATCTGATTACAATGTAATTTTCCACAACATATTTTTTTCTGTTTAGCACAAAAAATTCTCAAACAAGTTATTTATAATTATTATTTATTATTGTTTTTATTACTAATATTATTATTTTATTATTATCGCTTCATTTATTTATTTCTATTTCTATTTCTTTCCTTTAATTTTTTTTACTCCCTCTTTTTTTCTTGATTTTGATTTTCATTTCCCTTACTTTAACTTATAGATTATATTGTAATCTGATTGTTAAAACTAGCAATAATAAAAAAAAATATTCACAATATAAACACAAGCAAAATGTTTTTTAAATTATTCTAATTAGACGCTCAGTTTTCTCAAAAACTCGATTTTTATTTTCCGCACTCTTTGCTCCGTATCTCCAAAACGGCTGGACCGATCTCTGCCAAAAACTAATCAGCACATCTCCCCATCAACAGGAATAGAATATGTTTTGAATCAATCAAATCGGTTAATCCGTTCTCTTAAAAACTGAAATTCTTGCACCTTCTGCTTCATATTTCCGAAGCCGCTGGACTTGCCTCTGTCTAATTAGCACATCTGCCCATCAATAAGAATAGAATATGTTTTGAATCATTCAAATCGGTTAATCCGTGCTCTAAAAAACTGGAATTTTTGCACTTTTTGCTTCATATCTTCGAAGCTGCTGGACCTGTCTTTGGCAAAAACGTCTTCCTCAATAGGGATCCGTACGTCCGGTTAATCCGTACGTCCGAAATCATCGACGAAAAATTGTATCCACACATCCATTTTATCTAAAGTATGCCAAAATGTTTGGCCTTTGCCAAAAACTAATTAGCACATCTCCCTATCAATAGGAATCAAATGTTTTTTAAATCATTCAAATCGGTTAATCCGCGCTCCCGAAAAATTTGATATTTAAATACTAATGTAATATTTTGCAACCTAACATACTGTTTTTGTTTCTATAAAAGTCTATTTTTTATGTGACACAATTTGTTTTTATTTTTATTCAAAAAAAATTTCCAGTCATAGATAAATAAGCATAGTATCAAAATTATCCATTTCTCTTACCTAGTCAATTCATTCGTCGCGTTTGTCAACCTGTGCGTCACTTTGACAGTTATCTAGATTGCGTATCTGTCAGTGGCGTAAATACCATTTTGTTACTAAAAATAATTATTGACACTAATTCTTAATGCCTCTATAATACAAAAATCGAAATTTGTTCAAACAGTATAAAATAATTGAAAAGAGAGCCAATAATGGCTTCTGGCACAACTTTGCAAAAAGCCATTGATTTAGTGACCAAGGCTACTGAAGAGGATAGGAATAAAAATTATGCAGAGGCTTTGAGACTTTATGAACATGGAGTGGAATACTTCTTGCACGCTATTAAGTGTTAGTATCGTTTATTATTAATATTCTATTAGATGTGGGGAAAAACTGTGAATAATTTGTTTTACTTGGCCACTGTTTACTCACTGCCTGACAGGTTATTAAAATCTGTTTAAATTTGATTATTTTATATTTAAATTAATGTCACTACTTACATAGATTATTTCCATGTCAGTTAAGACATACTAATTTCAGCATAGTACATTAATTCTGTTCTTGAACTTATTGCTGCAAATTAAATTTAAAAAAAGTTATTATAAAGGATGATAATTACAAACAAAAGCTAGTTTATAAATACAGGTTTTATATATTTATTTAGATGAAGCACAAGGTGAAAAAGCAAAAGAGAGTATCCGAGCCAAGTGTTTGCAATATTTAGACAGGGCCGAGAAGTTAAAAGATTATTTAAAAAAGGGCAAGAAGAAACCTGTGAAAGATGGTGAAGGAAGCAAGTATGTATCATGTTCATTTTGCATTAAAATAGTAATAAATATTTAAAAATTTTATCAGGGATGAGAAGAAAAGTGATAGCGATAGTGACTCTGATGATCCAGAAAAGAAAAAGTTGCAAAGCAAACTTGAAGGAGCTATAGGTAAAGTTATAGTCATTTATAAATTTCTGATTTATACTCAACATAACTGGATTTATAGTTCTTGTAATTTGTGAGTTATGAAAAACTCTTGAAATTAGATAATTTTATTATTATTCTAGTTGTTGAAAAACCAAACATCAAATGGAGTGATGTTGCTGGTTTGGAGGCTGCTAAGGAAGCTCTTAAAGAAGCTGTAATTTTGCCTATTAGATTTCCACATCTCTTCACTGGCAAAAGAATCCCATGGAAAGGAATTCTCCTATTTGGGGTAACAATTAATCATAAAACAATCAGCAGAAATAGCTAACAAATATAACATTAATATTTATCCTCAGCCTCCTGGAACTGGTAAATCATATCTTGCCAAGGCCGTTGCAACTGAAGCCAATAATTCAACATTTTTCAGTGTCAGTTCATCAGATTTGGTCAGCAAATGGTTGGGTGAATCTGAAAAGCTGGTTAAGAATTTATTTGAGTTAGCCCGAGCACATAAGCCATCTATTATTTTTATTGATGAAGTTGATTCTCTATGTTCCTCAAGAAGTGATAATGAATCTGAAAGTGCACGAAGAATAAAAACAGAATTTTTAGTACAAATGCAAGGTATATAATTATAGTTAATTGTTTAAATATAAGAAACATTGATATTACTTTATCGCAGGTGTTGGTAATGACAATGATGGAATCCTGGTACTTGGTGCTACAAATATACCATGGGTTTTGGATTCTGCCATTCGTAGAAGATTTGAAAAGAGAATATTTATACCTCTACCAGAAGAACCTGCACGTCTGGTTATGTTTAAAATTCATTTGGGTAACACATCACATCAACTCACCGAACAAGATCTTAAAGTTCTAGCCAGTAAAACAGATGGGTAAGAATAACAATATACAAATTATAATTCAAATCGATGCCATCAATTCTTTTTTTTCATTTTTCAGGTATTCTGGAGCTGATATAAGCATAGTTGTCCGAGATGCTCTAATGCAGCCTGTCCGCAAAGTACAAACTGCAACTCATTTTAAATACGTAACAGGCCCTTCACCAACAGATCGAAGCACGATTGTCAATGATCTACTGACCCCTTGCAGCCCTGGAGACGATGGGGCTATGGAAATGACATGGGTTGATGTGCAAGGCGATAAATTATTCGAGCCACCAGTAACTATGGTAAATAGTAATAAATAAAATATAAATGAGTGCAAATTATATAAACAAAGTGTAAAAGCCAGGCATCCATAAAAGACAAATTAAGAATTATTTCACAAACAAATTAAGAATTCATTTTACAATTCATCCTTTTTGACTAAAACCCTAGCTTTCATTCAGGCTAAAAATAAAATTTAAAAACTAAATCAATTGAGATTGAAAGATTATAAAGAGTAAAAAGTACTTACAATTTGCTAATCTTATTGTTGAAAACAGAAAAATAAACGTTTTTAATCCAACTGTACTACATTTTGAAAAAAAATTATGCAAAAGACTTTGTGGAGGAATCTTTTATAACCATTTATAACAATAAAACTATAAATAAGAGAAATGAGCACATGTGCTCTGTAACACAAACTTTCTTTTATCTAGATAGTATTTCCAAATTTTTTGCAAAACAAAAAATTTGCAAAGAATTCACAATTAGTTCTACATATGCTAGAATCTTTGTGAAAAAATTTTTTTAATAATCCTCTTTTCATCATGTCTCCAGCTAGTTTATAGATCACACATGTGATAATTTAATGTTAGTATAATTATGAAATATAATTACAAGTCTAATGTTTATATTACATATTGTGGTGGATTACCATATCCTCATACCTTGGATTATTGATTTTTCTGTTTTTAATACTAAGACTAACAAATTAAAAGTACTGTTTTACTCTCTACAATTTTTCAATCTCTATTGTTTTAGTCATAGATAAGGTTTTAGTTTTCAAATTTTATTTTTAATTTCCACTGAATGAAGGCTAGGACTAGAGCCGAAAAAATTGTTTTTTTTAATGTTATGCCCAATTATTAAAATTTGCTAATACATATGTCAACATCAAATTAAGAATATATATATATATATATATATATATATATATATATATATATATATTATATATATATATATATATATATATATATATATATATTAAAAAAGTGATTCTCTTACCAGAGTGACATGCTGAGATCCCTCGCCACATCCAAACCAACAGTCAATGATGAAGACATGGTCAAGCTTGACAAATTTGCGCAAGATTTTGGTCAGGAGGGTTAATTGTATAGAAATCACACACGAACACTGTAACATGGCCTTCATATTTAGAAATAATTTATTATTCTCAGATGTGGTTTCCAGAATATAACACTTCGCTTTCAAATAACGTCCTCTAATTATATTCTTATTTGCTGTGAATTTGCATGTACTGCAACATGCTTTTATAGTTTCTACGTTTTTTTAATTCTAAATATATATATATGTTAAGTACAATTTTTTATATGTATTATCATTCATTATTAAAATATTTTATATATGTTAACACTTTTGAAAAATCTTTGTCGATGCTTTTTAGTAACTTTATTATTCGTATAGCATTAATCTAAGAGGCTTAATCGGTATAGTCAATAGTTAGATGTATTGTTATATGCATTTTAAAAGATATTGCTATACTATATATAAAAGTATGAATAGAAATATAAAATTAATTTCAAATTATTCTGAAATTTGTTTTGTCAAAACTTTTAAATTCCAACAAAAATAAACCCAGACATCTGTTTATAAATATATGTATGAATTTCGATTAGCAAGCAATATTATTTTTGAAATAAATCATGAAAAAGTTATGGTTTTACATTATATTTCTATTAATTTACAATTGACAATTTATCTAAACTAATTCTAACATTGGGGTCTCCAACTGGAAACTAATCAAAAAAATATTGGCACAACAGAAATTGAAATGAATGGAAGCTGCCTGTGTATCAATTATAATATGCTAGTGACAATGTTGGAGGCCCCATTTCTAATTGATTCAGAAGATACTTATTAAAGTTCTGGGAAGCTTAAATTCAGATCTTTGTGTTATAATAAGTATCTCTATCACGTTTATAGCACAAGTTTGGAAGAAATCTAAAGGTGAGATTTGTAGTTCTGCAAGTATATTTTTATATCAATAGAATAACCATATTATTTAGCAACAGGTAAATGAATTATTCAGAACGTTTGTTCCAAAACATAATTATTAAACAATTTTGAATTATTTTTAACAAGCTAGGGATATCATCATCAGTTTTTATATATGATATATATCAAAAATTTCATAACATCTTATTCCATTTTAGCTTAAAATGTAAACTTGCAAAATTAAAACTGATCTGTCTACATTTTTCTAATCAAGTAACAATATTATTTAACTTTTGTACATTGTGTGATATTTTTCAATTGTCAAGCAGTTTTAGCCAGAAATTGAAAACTACTTTTATATAAAATAGTTCATTTCATAAAAATACGGCGAGGATTTTGCGCCTTATTTTAAATAGAATTTTAATTTTTGAAATTCATCAAGGAATGAATTTATCAAACGTAACTCACCTTTAAACTCAATATTTTAAAGAATTTTTATGCAACCGGGCAGTGTATAAATATATTCCAATAATCACATTATTAACCACTTAACAGTTTTATTTTAACTTTTGGATAGTGATTGAACCGATAATTTAATTTTGCTTATTCATCAATACAGTAAAGTACAGTAGCTTCGACTAAATAAAATTTATTCCTTTACAGGCTGTTCTCTCTGAAGGAACAATGTGAGTACACTCGGCTGTTGACTCAGTTCGTATTAAAGCGTCGAATACAATATATCAAGGATGAGCAACACGCGGCCCGCGGTCTTCGTGCGACCCTTTAAATATTTTTCTGAAGCCCACCAAGCATTTGTGTAAAATTTTATTTTTTTCGTAAACTTTGCTCCACCAACAAATTAATTAAAATGTTTTCTTTGCTTGTTGCAATAATTATGGAATATTTATAGTTTTTTTTTAATTTAGTATTCCTATATTATATTAGTACTTTGTAAATTATTAATAAGTGCAGCCCGCCATGGAATTTTAAAAATTAAATATGGCCCTTGAGTTAAAAACTTGCTCATTCTTCAAATAAATCTATTCTGCAATAAGTCAGTGTTCGCTTTTCAAAATTTACTATCAAAGTATGTATTTACTTTCAAGTATTTATCATTTTTTTTATTATATAACCTTTTTTCTATTCTATCTATCTAGAGCATATTGGTAAAGCAAATTTTTCACCAAAAAAGACGACATACAAAAAACGATATATCTGGACAATTCACTAAATTGCCAATTAATTTTGCAATTTCGCTGATGCAAAGTATGTTGCTCATGAAAAAATGCAAGCAGTAAAAAATGTCCCAAGAAGGAAGATACTGCTATTCGGATTGTGAGTTGTATGCTTAAAAATATGATACTAACTGCATATTGAGTAAATTCAATTAATAGAATTATTGAGTAATTATATTAATTTTGATAATTTTTTACCATTTTTCACAAAAGTATCCGACTGTTAAGTGGTTAAAACCTAAACTACTAAAAGATTGACTATATCATAAACTAGAATTTTGACGGTTATAAATTATATTGAGTATAATTCAATGACAAATACTTTTATAATGATAATATTAACAACAACCAAAAGAGTTCACATTACGGAGGACATACCCTTAAGAATTCTGTATCGAAATATATAACTGTTATCGTAATATCGTCTCGGAATAATCGAACAACATCTTGAGGTAAAGATAAATAATGAGCTATTTTAGAATGTTCCAAACCATATTCAGTTCCACCCAGAGCATTCCTTATCAGATGTGTAGCTGCGTTTCTGTCGAGGGGTTTGCTCATCAGGCCTTTTCTGGATAAAATAATCGTATAACATGATTTATTATGTGTCATAGTTAAGGGTAACACCACTGTCAAGAAAAAGAAAACTACAGTAGAACTCCAATTATCCGAACTCCAATCATCCAAACTCCAATTATCCGAACTCCGACTATCCGAATCGCCGATTATCCGAATCACTTTCAGAAAAAAAATTGTCCAAAAAAAGTCTAAGTGCGCTATTATTCTTCCACCAGCAAAGCCAGTGTAGGCACATTGTTTGTTTTGATTTGACGGAGATGTTTACAAAACAATGATTTTTATTTCTAAACTTGTACATAAGTACATTTTATTTATATTTAAAACATGTGAAAATGTCATGTTTCTTTCATTTAATTCAATAAAAAAATAGTGCAATATCAAAACGTAACTTTTTTTCTCTCCAATGGCAATTTAAAAAAAAAAAACTCCGAATATTTGATTATCCGAATATTTGATTATCCGAATCGGTCCCGGTCCCCATTAATTCGGATAATTGGAGTTCTACTGTAGTTGTATGCAACATTTTGCCTTAAGGCAAGTTGTATTAACGATTAACAGTTAAGTTGCAGCATCTTCCCGATATGTGTTCATAATTGACTTAATCAATTGAGAATTGATATTCAACTAGTTAGATAAAATCTTCTGTTTATTTCAAAATAAAATTTTCGCTTCAGTAAAATATAATGAATACGATTTACATTGAAACATACTTAGGATATCTGTAATTGTATGAATTAAATTAATTTTCAACTTCCGAAAAAATGAAAATGAAATTTTTTGCATGTCTTCACGATTCAGAGGTTTATGAACATTTTGGCATGCCTAAAAAAATGAATGTTTGTGTGTATGTATGTGTAAATACAATATTTCGTCCACGTTTTCGGGCGCACGGTTCAACCGATTTGAATGGTTCAAAAAACATTCGATTCCTATTGATAGGGAGATGTGCTGATTAGAACTAAGCATCCGATTTGAATGATTCAAAAAACTTTCTGATTGTGTTGACAAAAAAATTGCTTTTGAAAAAAAATATTTTTCACAAAAAAATTTTTTGTACATTGAAAATAATCCCGATTTTAATTTTAACTCTGGCTAAAGTTCTAAAGTTCACTTATAAACTTTAAATAAATAATTTCAACTTTGCAATTCAGTTTATATAATTCTTATAAATATTAGATAATGTTACAATATTTATAATAATCTATTTGAAAACATTTAATATTCCTCAAACATTTCGTTACGGCTCGGGAAGTTCCGGCAATTTACAATGCCATACACAACTAGTTTTTAACACATTTTGTCTATTTAAGATTCTGAATATGCATTTCATTTAAGAATGAACTTAAAATGTATTCTGGTACTAAAAATGTATTTTAGTGTGAACGTCAGCTATAAACAGTAGACAACCTACGAATTACGGAACGTACATATTTGCTCGGCATAGATTCTGATTATAATCTGAATTAGAAATTATATTGATGAAATTTCATAATTCAACCGTTTATCGTAGGCCTATAATATTTTAGTATGTTATTTTTATGACTTGATTTTTGATGACTTGATCGTCTAGAAAACATAAAAATTAGTAAATCGAATTTTCTGGCAAAAACGAACTCCTCGTTTGGGAAGTTAGAAACATGTTTAATAGGCTGTTACAGTGGTGTTACCCCCTAAGTTAGATTATATTTAGATTCAAGTTGATTTCTGTAAAAATTTTATATTAACTTATAACTTGATGTTGATTTGACTACTGTACTTGTATACAAAGTCAATAAAACAATAAATAAATAAAATAACTTGATGTTTTCCAATAAGGGATACCACTGGATAGTCCTCTAAAGCCATTGTAATTAAACATATCATCCCAATTAATAAATGTATATTACTATAATAGATTGAAGATTGAAGTGGTAGTTAAATTGGAAATAAAAAAAAGGATTCAAAACAACAACAATGACGACGCTTCATAAAAATTAATACATAATACAAAAAAACGCAACTTAAAAAATAACGCAAAATGACAAAAGCAAAGTTAAGTATGGGTATACTTAACATAAAATATCGCAATTAATATAATAAAGAAAAAAATATTTAAATCACATTATTACAATTTAAATGACATGATCCGCCAATACTTTCTATTCTTTTATAACAAACAAATAAAAATGAAGACAATACCTTCGATGTGCTAATAATTTAGCAATTGTTCCTAAAGTTATGGGTTTCTTGGGCAATTTCAATGGACTGAGGAAAGCTTTTCCAAACATATGTTCACCAACCAATTTGACAGCCTGAATAATAAATATTTCAACAAAATTATTATATTATTATATCATATATTCAATTGATGTTAAATTTACAAAAGTATACCAAGAACTTCTTCATATGGAATTTGAGAAATATTCATGAAAATTATAATCAAGCTCAGTTACAGATATTATTTTTCAGATGATAAATATTTTAAAAAAAATTATGGAATGCCAGTAAGCAAGATTTAAGGCAAAACCAAGGGAATTATTCTCAATTCACTCTGTTATAAATAAATAGTGGTTTGTAGTTTTTATTAAAAGTTTTTTATTGGTGCTGTGTATTTGTATTTTTCATTAAGTGTTGTGTATATATTTTAAGAAGTGTATATGAATTTAAAAAAAACTATTTTTTGAAGTATATCTTCTTTAGGCGCGACTAGGGTGTAAATTCGTACAAATGCAACGGAAATTGCGTTACGCCCGAACTGTACGACATTCGCTCTCGATGAAATCATTTTATACGGGTCGATTGTGATTAGTCGTCGCGTATGTGAATAGAGATCTGTCATTGTATGCGTACCGGCATCAACGTTGTATGCGTTCCGATATCAACAAGGAAATCAGCATAGATAAATAAACATTTTAAAGTTACATCGTAGTACAAATCTTGATTTAATGAAAAATGCCTGAAACAGAAGAATATTTTACCCTGTTCCTTAGAAATTATTTCTATATTATTCGTAGTTTCTATAAATCTTTGAAGTTATTAAATTGGAAAATATTTTTTAGGCAAGACGGATATTACAATTGTTCGGATAAAACACAATTACATGATGAGTAAAGATGCAAAAACAATATTTGTTTAGGCGTTGTTTAACATAATCCACTGTGTGAATATTATGGAATTTATCAATCAGCAATTACATCATTTCTCTAATGAAAGGTCATTTCCTAATGCTAATTACAATGACAAACCGATTATTTCATATTTGAAGTATGACTTTAATTACATTATTGTTTTTAAATATTATACATATTTTTAATACTATTATAAATATATAATTTATAATTTATCATTATATAAATGTGTATGGTAATTGACACTAATAAATGTGAGCATCACGATGAATTTATTTTTACTTAAATGCCATCTTATACAGTAGCAAAATAAGTTTTACTTCAATCGCGTGTGAACCTTACGCGCACTTTTTTCTACATAAGTGAACAAATTCTGGATATAAAATATGAATAAAGAAATTTTTTTCTGAAGAAAAATATGAATATTGTTAAGATATTTTTTAAAATATAAATAATTTTAATACCTGATGAGGTGTCATAGTATCCCACAAACCATCACTGGCTATAATTAAAAATCTATCTCTTGGAGTTAATCTGTGATGTGTTACTTCTGGTTTGGCAGTCAAATACGGAGGAGTGTTATAATTTGGAGGTAAAATTGTACTTTTCAAAGATTCATCCACACATTTTAATATGTATTCCCGAGGCCATTTATACCTTAAAAAAATATACAACCACAATACAAACAAAACAAGTTAAAAGACTATGGATTATCAAAATATTTTTTTTATTACCTAAAATCCCCTAATGCTCGTAAAGGAGCCAATTGTCCTAATAATCTTTCTTGTCGAATGACAGTATGTCTTTCATTGCTAGGATGCTCTCCCAAAAGCCGCCTAACCTCAGAAACATTATCAGCATTATGTTCTGAACTTAATTTCTTGGCTGCCCAATCTCCTGAATCAGTTTGAACTCCTAAAACAGCAGCTGCATCTCCTACATTGGCAACATGGAGATGTGGGCCATCAACATGGGCAACACATGCTACAGCACCTAAAACAAAAAATACATATATAAATTAGTATCAATTATATAACAATTAATAGCAATAAAAATTTGATTTCACCTGACATAGCAACTGAGAGTGTTTTGGGGCCTGGCAAGTTCAAGGCTTCTTCAGAAATATCAGCATCGAGTCTCATAAAAGCAGTCTCCAGAGCTTTAGTCATATTGAAATGCCTACTTTCGCCAAATTCACTAGGATTTTTAATTACTCCTGCTCTCGAAGACATGACTAGATCATCAATAAACCGGCTAAGACTATCTTTATATATGGAACGAATATCATTGACAAATTGCACCTGAAAAAAAAAATTAAAAATTATCTTTTCATTATTTTACAATGTAGAGAAGTTGAATTATAAAAAAAAAGTTCGGAATAAAAAAAAGTTATTTTTGAAGCTAAACTGTTTTTTTTTTTTACTTCCCTTAGGATAAGTTATAGTAATCATCAAAAATTGAAGATAAAAGATTTTACCTTATCATTATAGCAATTCAATAAAGCTGTATCTATATTATTTCGTGTAATGTTAGCACCCAAAAGTTCTGGGGGCACTAAACAAGCAGCTACATATTGAAGTAGACGTTTACCAATAACTTGAGCACAACCAGCACCACCATGACCATCAAATACACCAACCAGAAGACCTTGATAAAAAAAAAGTACAAAGTAGATAATCTAGTATAAACAACCTATGTAAAGTATAATTCATTCATTATATAATCATGTCATATAAATTAAATAAAATTTTTTAAGCCCTGTGCACACGACGCCGTAACAGGATTTCTGTCAAGGTTTCTGGTAAGGTGAGCAAGGATTTTGCGCCAGATTTTCACTTTTATGATTTATAATAATTTTGTGTATTTTCAAATAGATTATTATAAATGCACTAATGCTTATAAGTGCACAAAGAGAGCATTGTATATTTAAACGTTTTCGGTAATTTAAATATTTTAAAGTATCGGCAACAAAACAGCTTATCCATCGCCGAATAAGACATGCTCTATTCTTAAAATACGGCAGAAATTTTCGAGGACATAAGTTGCTGTGAAATCAGTTTCCGACGTTGCTGGGCAACGCTTGAGATTAAAATTGTGTTAAGGATATTGCCGTTGTGAATAGAGAGTTTAAACGTGAAATCTGGTTGGCAAGATCCTAAAATATGTCGGGAAAGATCGTAAATTATGATTTATCATATCGTTTGCTAGGTAACAAACTGTCCGGCATGCACTAATCAGAAAATCAAGCGTCGTGTGCACCGGGCTTTACATGTATATTGATTTTACAAAATACATTACTTTGTTGCAAGAAGTAATATTTAAATACCATAAATATTTTTAATAATTTCAATATATTCACCTTCCGTTAATAAACAATTTGCTTCACTTCTAGTATCCTCGATTGGATTATTCGATGCAAGCTGATTCGAATCATAGGATTTAACCGAACCAGTCTGGAATTCATGACTGTACTCATTTGCTCTAAGTATTTCATTGACCTGAAACAAAATTTACTTCATCATTTTAAATAAAATATTAATCAATTATTCAACAGCTAAAATTCATTAACTAAATATTAGGTTGGCATCTAAGTAAATACGGATTTCAATCTCAGAGGGTTTCAATTGAATTTTTGGTTTGCGGGGGTAGTCCAAATTTTAAATACCTTTTATTATTGGATAGTAGACAGGCAATAAATCTGGTATTTTTGGACCGCCTTGGTGATACGTCCTGATGTTCAAAATTACCTCCATTCCCGAACAAACATCAAGTATTTCAGTTATGTAAAGTTTTTCAAATTTTCGAAAAAATCGAAATTTTTTTAGTTTTTTTTTTTTGAAAATTCAAATAATAAATACACGTGATATCTTACTAGACCCCTCTCTCCCCCACGTGATATTTTGTGATTTTTTGTCAACCCCCCCTCTGTTTAGCTGTTTATGTTGAAGAGCCCTAAAAAAGGTAAGGTTAAAATATGTTTGCCAAATTTCATTCTGGTGATTTTTCACTCTAAGGTAAAAAACGCTCTGGTCGTCCAATTGAAGTTGATCAAACGAATGTCGGTGACAAAGCCTTAAAAATTGGGGCAGTGTTAAAATGTATTTGCAAAATTCCGTTCCTGTAATTTTTCAATCAAAGATGAAAAACGCTCTGGTTGTCCAATTGAAGTTGATCACAAAGGAATTATCTACTTGTACTTTTACCATCGAACCAAGCGATCAATTCTGATATCTTTATTGAACAACTAAGAAAATTAAACAACGCAGTTAAAGAAAACCGGCCTGAATTGATGAAATTAAAGAGGTAATTTATTTATTCTATTATTGGCATCACATATCATTGGCTACTCGGCAAAAATTATTGGAACTTTGGGATGTTTTGCCACATTCATCATATAGACCAGTGGTCGGGAAACCGGAGTAAATTACCTGGGGTAAAATGGATTTTTGGGGGTAAAAAGTCTGTATTTTTGATTGATATTTACTGTATTTGCTACGTAGTTGTCTGTATGGGGGTAATCTCTCTTCGCCATGGGGGTAATATTAATTTAGACAATAATATTTTGGTTAAAATGATTAAAAAAAGTTTCCCGATCGCTGATATAGATTTTGACCATCTGATTACTTTTTGTTTCGGTCTTTAAAAAACTCCTTGAATGGTAAACAATTAAATGATTATGATCATTTCAAATTGTACCTAATTCAGTTTTTTGCTAATAAAAACCAGGAGTTTTATGATGTGGGATAATGATGCTGCTTCAAAGATAACAAAAGTCGCTCATCAAAATGAATAATGTATTGCAGAATGAAGTTACACATTTAGTTCCATAAAAAAACTGGCTCTGATTTTCAAACAAAAAACTGCACTTACTTAGTTGCCAACCAAATAGTTAATTAACAATATCAAAAAAACGATAATGAATATTTTGTATACAATAGAACAATACCTGAGTTCATTATTTGATTATTGATTATTATTTTTATAATTGAATAGAAGATAAAACAAATTATGTTTATACATGTAGAATGTATTTATATGTTCTTTATATGTGTGTGATTACATATATTTTTAATCACTGCAAAACAATATATAAATATTATTGTTATGAATTCTTGAGCCTCAAACAATCTTTATTTCAAAAATACTATTGTGTTTTTGTGTATGTGATTTTAAATCTATTTTTAGACTGAGATAATTAGAATGAATTGAAAACAAGTATTGTTACTAAGATGGAATACAAATTCTAGAAAAATGAAATCTGATACATTAATTGCAATGAGGATTATGAATGAAAATGAAACATTAAAAACAAATAATAGTATTATAATTTCGCACATTATATTGGTATCAACTATATTTTTAGCTCCTTCATACAAGAATTTATTGTTAATAAATAAATTTAATAAAACATAATTAATATTATTTTTATCATTTTCATTTTCTACATACTCCCATCGCTCGTTTCACACGTTTTCGATCTTAAACGAAATTTGAAAATATATTTTTTTAAGTCAAACTTCTTTATGCGCGACTAGGGATTAAATCTGTACAAATGCAACGGAAATAGCGTTACGGCCGAGTCAAGTGCCAATGATTCGTCATTCGCTCTCGATGATATCATTTCTATATGGGTCGATTGTGATTGGTCGTCGTGTCGCCTGAGTATGATTACTTTGATTGTTTAGTGAAAATAATAAAACAAATGAAAAATATGACGTGTAAGAATCGTAAGTTTATTGAAGTAATTTGTATGATTCGTTGTTACTATAATTTCTTGAAGTTATTAAAATGAAAATTATTTTTATAGACAAAACAGTTATTACAGCTGCTTAAAGAATGAGACTGTATCACCAGCGAAATAGTAAAAAAAACAAGCAGTCAATAAATGTATGTTAATTTTAATTACATAAAGCTCTTCAAACACTAATTGTAATGATGAGTGAAATTGTGAAAACAATATTTATTTAGGCGTTGTTTAACATAATAATTCTCTGCATTTTTATAGATATTAAAAAATATTAAAGCAGCACAGCTTTATTCTATCATGCCAAAGATATATCTTTTTCAGAATTATATCTCAGACATTTTTGGAAGTTTAGAAGAAGTCTACATGTTTTCCAATCATAGTATTACGAAGTTGCATATTTTTATAAATAATGAAAAATAAATCGATATTCAGATTTATTACTCTAAACAAGATATCAAGCAGAACAATATTTTGTGTAGCTGTGTATCATTTATATACAGATATACTTCACAATGGATATCTATGCAGTTTATTCATTGCTAGCGTTAAAGAAATTACTTAAGATTGTTATATTACAGGTGTCCATTGTGTGAACGAATATTATAGAATTTATTTATCAGAAATTACTTCACTTCTCTAATGAAGGTTCATTTCTAAATGCTAATTGCAATGATAAACTGATCATGTCTGAAGTGTTTCAAACATTATAAATATTTTTAATCATATTATAAATATATAATTTATAATTTTTACTATATAAATATGTATGACTGTTATTAAAAATGTGGGCATCACGAGTGTTACCATATTATTAACAAACATTATTCAAATTGTTATATGATGTATTTATTTTACTTAAATGCCATCTCGTACAATAGCAAAAAAGTTTTACTTCAATCCTTATGCGCACTCTTTTTTATTTGATGTATTGCCCTAAAGAATTTGGTTCATATTGGTCGATATAAAAATAGAAAACTATTTTTAGTTCTTTATCATTCAGTTAATCGAATCAGAAAAAACTGAAACACAATTAGAGCATATTTGTTTTGATAACTAAAAAAATAAATTAACAATAAACACTAAAATATAACTACAATTTTAAAACAAGAATTAAAAATAACATGCTAAATATCCTGAATAAACAAAGATTATTTTTCTATCATTATCCAAAATGAAATGTCTCGAAAGAAAAACATTTGAGCAACAATTATAAAAGAATTTACATTATAAATCAAATGTCGAAATGTATGGAAATAAAATTTATTAGTATCTTCCATTTTTGTTTGATGTATTGCTCTGAAAAATTTGGATCATATTGGCCGATATAAAACTAAAAAACTATTTTTAGTTCTTTATCATTCAGTTAATCGAATCAGAAAAAACTGAAACACAATTAGAGCATATTTGTTTTGATAACTGAAAAAATAAGTTAACATAAACACTGAAACACAACTACAATATTAAAACAAAAATTAAAAATAACATGCTAAATATTCTGACCAAACAAAGATTATTTTTCTATCATTATCCAAAATGAAATGTCTCGAAAGAAAAACATTTGAGCAACAATTATAAAAGAATTTACATTATCAATCAAATGTCGAAATGTATGGAAATAAAATTTATTAGTATCTTCCATTTTTATTTGATGTATTGCTCTGACAAATTTGGTTCATATTGGTTGATATAAAAATAAAAAACTATTTCTAGTTGTTTATCATTCAGTTAATCGAATCAGGAAAAATTGAAACACAATTAGAGCAATTGTTTTGATAACTAAAAAAATAAATTAACAATAAACACTGAAATATAACTACAATTTTAAAACAAGAATTAAGAATAATATGCTGAATATTCTGACCAAACAAAGATTATTTTTCTATCATTATCCAAAATGAAATGTCTCAAAACAAAAACATTTGAGCAACAATTATAAAAGAATTTACATTATCAATCAAATGTTGAAATGTATGGAAATAAAATTTATTAGTATCTTCCATTTTTGTTTGATGTATTGCTCTGAAAAATTTGGATCATATTGGCCGATATAAAACTAAAAAACTATTTTTAGTTCTTTATCATTCAGTTAATCGAATCAGAAAAAACTGAAACACAATTAGAGCATATTTGTTTTGATAACTAAAAAAATAAATTAACAATAAACACTGAAATATAACTACAATTTTAAAACAAGAATTAAGAATAACATGCTAAATATTTTGACCAAAGAAAGATGATTCTTCCATCATTATTCAAAATTAAATGTCTCGAAAGAATAACATTCGAGCAACAAATATAAAAGGATTTATATGATCAAGACACAAAAAATTTAATGTTGTAAGTTTATCCCAAAGATAGTTATCTTATGAAGTATTTTTAAAAATGATCTTATAGTATTATACTGTTTAAATATATATAAAATACAGAAAATAAATAAAAATTATAACCTTACATCATGTGGTGATAATTTGGGCACAGCCCCTGTAAAGCTGGTTGACAAATTAAATTTCCTCACACAATTCCTAAAAGGTACAGAGACAGGCATAGCAAACGTATTTAAACTTTTTTTTAATATTACACAAACCATTATTGCACAAATTTCGATTATTTCAATGTTGATTTAAAACGCAATTAACATTTCGAGCTGCCGATTTATCGTTCGACGACATATTTTGGATTTATTAATTTTGTATTGTACGCAGTAAATTTTATGAAAGTTTTATGTTTAAAAGACATTTCAAATCGTTAAAGAACTACATTGTTAATTGACATAACAGCTAATTGACAATACATGTGGGGACGTAGGAAAATTTTGCAAAGAACTGCAAGCGACATCAGACGTGAAGTATGCGCATTAATATTTAACCGGTAAATTTGAAATACGATTTATGTATTAACTTTCCGAAGAAGTTCGGTTTCGCGAAAAAATCTGATTTGATTATTTTATATCCTAATAATAATTGTCATAACTTCATATCCTAATGATAATAGGTCGTCAAATATCTCCCTTCCGCATTTTTGTATTATAAACCAAGAGCAAAAAAGCTGAAGGGAGATATTTGACAACCTAATATATAGTAAGTATAACATCAATATTCAACCGGTAAATTTGAAAGTATAATTTACTTACCGAAGGGAAAGTTCGGTTTTCCAAAAACATCCGATTTGCTAATTTTATATCCTAATAATAACTTTATATCCTAATAATATTGCCATGGGCGTTAAACAAATGATTAAACTAGTTGTGAATGGCATCGTGCCTTAAAACGAATTGCTGAAACTTCCCGTACCAAAAATTAAAAGTCTTGGTACGGAACCCAAAAAAAAAAATTACATAAAATGTGCACACATTATTAAAATCTCTATAAAATATCTGATAATTTGATGTACATATGTTCAATAAATATTTTTGACCGCCAAATGAATTTTTTTAACTTATTTTTATTGAGAGGTCCATAACCGCTAGACCTGCCTTCCCAAAAATTTAATCAGGTCTTCATATTGTCAATATAATACAAGTAAATATTTTTTGAATTATAAAATTCAGACGCTCCGTTCTCTTAAAAACTGAGTTACGGTTTTTTGCACTTTTTGCCCCGTATCTTCGAAACGGCTAGACCTGCCTTCGCCAAAAACTAATCAGAACGTTTCCTTATCTATACGAATCGAATGTTTTTTGAATTATTCAAATCGTTTTTTTTTGAATTATTCAAATTTTGAAAACTTTTTAAAAGTTCGACATTTTTTGGAATTTTTGAAAAAAAAACGATTTTTTTTAATTTTTTGAGAATTTGGAAACTTTTAAAAATATCCGATTTTTTTTTTTAAATTCCAAAATATTTTCAAATTTTTCGCGATCGAGTACGAACCGAATGTTTTTTCAATAATACAAATCGGTTATTCCATACTGTCGAAAATGTCGAGGACATTTGTTTGAATCATATAAATAAACTTCAAAATTAAAAATCTTGGTACGGAACCTAAAAAAAATGACACAAAATGTGTACACATTATTAATATATTGACCGCCAAATGGCATTTTTTTTTACTTTTTTTTATTGAGAGTCCATAACCGATGGACCTTTCCAAAAATTTGAACAGTTCTGTTTTTAGTCAATATAAGTAAAACGTTTTTTGAATTATTCATGTCGAACGTTTCGTTCTCTCAAAAACTAAATTACCATTTTTGGTTCTTTTTGCCTTGTATCTTCGAAACGTATGCCAAAGTGTTCAGAAACTCTGAAACGTAAAGATGTATAACAAATTTTATTTTCGATTTTTTTGCGATTACTATAACCCTATAGGAACTAAAAGTATAGGTTTCAATTATATAATATATATTATAAAAAAATTCTTAATATCAAAACTTATAACTATCAATAACATTCTGAGTATTCATTCATCAAGCAATTAAAATAAATTAAAACTATATACAAATATTGTTATTATTAAATAAATTAATAATTCAAACTTAGATGACTTCTATTAGTCTTGGATAGTTTTTGGCCATTGGTCCTGTAACAAAATGTATTTATAAAAAACATGCTGTGATAAACATAATTCTGTAATTCCTATTTTAACCCTTTTCACTCGCAAATTGCAGAATTAATACGTATTTTGCAACCGGAGCGACAGCATCCGAGTAGAAAGGGTTAATATATTAATTATTAGTAAGTTTTTAATTATTTAAATGAATAGTTAATATTTACCTATATAGCTTAGTAAAACAGGTAAAAAGACCAAACCATGTAAAGCACCAATAACTACAATGCCCAGGTACATGCGGAAGTAAAACACCTGAAAGTATTAAAAAACATTCAAATAAAATATATTAATTTTCTCAAAAAATCATGATTTTCAACATGTTAAATAAAAAAAATAGAAACGTCGACGAAAGGTTAAATTTGGCTCACATACAACACACATTCTTTTTCCAAATTTTGTATCAAACGTTTCAATCGAAAAGTTGAGCAAGATAGCAAATCAAAATTTCTGACAGAAACAAATTTCTTCTTTTAACTGATGCTTCCTCTATTTACCTGGAATATTTGACTTTTGGCAAAGAACAACACAGCAATTCCTGCAAACTTTGTCAAAGTAATCCCTGCCAAAACTGATGATCCCATTCCTGCCAGAGATTCATGCGCTCGTTGGAGTTTTGTGACTCCTTTGCTTTTTTTGAAAGCGTGGACAATGTGAGAACAAAATTCTACGCCAATACCGACAGCCTAAAGAAAACCATAAACATTAATCTTTTATCAGATTACGAATATGCCAATAAATTAGTTAAAACACTTACTACAACTAAATTAACCAGCGACACAGCATTGAGTGTGATACTCCAAAAGTACATCATGCCGCCCATATTGGCGACAATTAGTAGTACAGTGAAAGAAACTACACAAGCACTGTGCAAATCCAGACCAGTAATGAAAAATGTTACCAGGAATACTGCAGCTTGAGAATAGAGCAGGGAAATCAAAGTGTCGTACCAGATTGTCAGGTATTGTTCGTAAAATACGTAGAAGACGCTAAAAAATTTGACAAAGATTAGTAGAGATTCGGTATATGTATACAATATTTGTCTTGGTTTCTACAATGAATTCAATATTTGGGTTGTTATTTATGAGATGCAAGGAGAAGGATAAAATTGCGAGTTGATCAATATTATTTTATTTACCTGTAAGGAAATATATCAAATGCACTCCATTCTTTTTATTACTGGCTCTAATATCTTCAGCTAAGTTTCTGGCAAGCCTTAATGCTGAATAGTAATCTTTAGAAGTTGTTAGAGGAGTATGGTATCCCATGAGATATGTATCCAGCACAACAGCCAAACCGTTGTCATCTACTTTGTAATTAACAGCCTAACACAAAATATTTATCAACAAGGTGCCAAAAAATTAAAACAAATTATGGATATATTTCTTACCTCTGCATAGGCAGCATGACCAGCCTTTGAACATCTTTCGTCAGGAATATCTTGCAAGAAATATGTTAAATATTTACCAAATTCTTCTGGTGTTGGCCTAGAATCACTGTCTTCAAATATACACTCCTCACAACCTGATTCGAAATCTAAATAAACCAGAGAAAAATATAAATAAAAGATAAAGATAATTTTATATGTATTTAGGTAAATAATTTTTATTGAACAACTTACCATTATGAGGACAAAACGATTGGTTGTTTGGAAATTCTTTACAACAATCCGTATGATTTTCCAATCTAGGTAGTCATCTAACCAGGAAGATGGTGATCTTGCCAAATAAGTTCTACATAAAACAATTTCAGCCAAAGATTGTTCCTGGTCTAAGCCAACCTCTATAGAAGAAATGACTGCAATGCTCGAACACAACCAGATTAAGAATACTATTATTACTGTTGGTCTCATCCACCTGGGAATAAGAAAAATTGATTATAGTTGAATTAATAAAAAATTGTTATATTGGTAGAATCATCATACCAATATATCTTGCAATTAGACAAAATGATAGGTTTTTGTGGATAAAAAATTGAGAAAAAAATTTTTGGAAAAATTTTTGGGAAAATGAATTTTGGGAAAGAAATTTTAGGAATTTTTTTTTGGCAAAAAACCATTGTCTTTGATTTTTTGGAAAAATATTTTGGGAAAAATTTTTTTGGAAGAACAAATTCTTGGAGAAAACCAAAGACTATAGGTCTTTGATTTTTTTGGTAAAAAATGTTGGGGAAACACCGTGGACTATAGTCTTTGATCTTTTGAAAAAAAGTTTTGGGAAAAAACATTTTTTGAAAAAAAAAATGGGGAAAATGATTTGAAAAAAAATGGGGGAAAAGATTTGGCGAAAAAAAATTGTAGAAAAAATTTTGGGATTAATATTCCCAGTTTAAAAGTTTCTTTTTTTACTAACTTGATGTTATTTCTAGAATGTTTTACTTACTTTGTCATGATAGTAGGCGCGTAGTACTTTTCTACAAAATTGTACAAAAGTCCCTTAGAAGTTTCCAATTCATCACAAACGTTGCTTTTTAAACAACATAGCACGTCGAATCTTTTGCCCTGTGAAAGAAAAAGCAGAACTTAAAAAAAAAAAAAAAACTTCTTAAACAGCCATCAATCCTAATAATAAATCTGGAAAGAAAACTCAATTATGCTTCTAAAAATTATATGTGGCGCATGGCATCGTGTCTTAGGCCATATTACTAGAACTTCCCGTACCGAAAAATAAATTTTTCAGAGAACCCAAATTTTTTGAAAACTTAGAAAAAAAATGAAATTTTTAGAATTTTTTAATATTTTTAAAAAATTTGACTTAAAAAAAATTTTTTTATATTTCAAATTTTTTTTATACTTTGATTTTTCTGAAAATTTTGAATTTTTTTTAGTGCAATCGTGCTGCGTGGCTGTTTTAGATAAGATATATCGAAGCGTGTAAGCGCCGCATCGCAGTCTAACGGATAAACATTGGTACGGAACTCATAAAAATGTAAAGAAATCCCTATTAAATATCTGATAGTACGATGCACATATGTCTAATGATCATTTTTGTCCGCCAAATGGCTTTTTTTTACTTTTTTATAGGATGTCCAAAACCGCTAAACCTGCATCGCAAAATTTTTATCAGTTCTTCATGTTTTACTTACTTTGTCATAATAGTAGGCGCGTAGTACTTTTCTACAAAATTGTACAAAAGTCCTTGGAAGTTTCCAATTCATCACAAACGTTACTTTTTAAACAACATAGCACGTCGAATCTTTTGCCCTGTGAAAGAAAAAGCAGAACTAAAAAAAAAAAAAACTTCTTAAACAGCCATCAATCCTAATAATAAATCTGGAAAGAAAACTCAATTATGTTTCTAAAAATTATATGTGGCGCATAGCATCGTGTCTTAGGGCATATTGCTAGAACTTCCCGTACCAAAAATTAAATTTTTATTTCAAATTTTTTTTATACTTTGATTTTTCTGAAAATTTTGAACTTTTTTTAGTGGCTGTTTTTTATAAGATATATCGAAGCGTGTAAGCGCCGCATGGCAGTCTAACGGATAAACATTGGTACGGAACTCATAAAAATGTAAACAAAGTACTTATTATTGAAATCCCTATTAAATATCTGATAGTACGATGTACATATGTCTAATGATCATTTTTGTCCGCCAAATGGCTTTTTTTTTACTTTTTTATAGGATGTCCAAAACCGCTAAACCTGCATCGCAAAATTTTTATCAGTTCTTCATTTTGTCAATAGAAATAAAATGTTTTTTAAATTATTCAAATCGGTTGATCCGTGTTCTCGAAATCCGCACACACACACATACATATCCATTTTTTCTGAAGTATGCCAACATATTCAGAAACCTTTGAAACGTAAAGATATATAAAAATTTTCATTCTGTTTTTTTTTGCGATCACTATAACTGACCCTGTGTTAAAGATATTATATTTATCATAAATTGATCAACAAAAATATAATATGTAATTATATATTATTAGGTAATTTTGGAATCATTATTTTGTTTGATTGTTTTATGTGAAATCAAGTAGGCAGCGGTGAAAAACAAATATGTCATGACATTTTCTAATGTGTTCTTTCAGTTGTGTATTTATTTTTATTTTTACAAATTTTAATAGTAAGTGTAGAAAAAAGCTACTTTCATATGTAAACAAAAGATCTTAATTTACTAAACTGATATTTGTATATAACCTTGTGGAAACAGATCATCCTTCTTGCCGTATTTTGGTAGGTAATAATTCACAATTAACTTGTTTAATTTTTTATAAAACTTATTGCTAATCTAAATGTAATTTTTCACCTTGTGCGGGTTAGCAAGGCCAGTGTTAATATCAAAACATGGACAAAACTGTTTTTGTTTTAAAAAATCTATTTAAACATTTATCAATATATTCATTTTTTGTATAATAATTTACCTATTTTATATTTCAAGGTAAAAGCTCCGATAAGATAAATATATAATTACAAAATATTATATGCACTTTGCATATGAATCATTTCAAAAGTGTTATTGAAATTTCTTGAAAATTCCATTTTAATTGCAGTATATAAATCAAGGAAGCAATTGGTGGAAAAACAGTTTTCATTGTTTTAATGGTTAGTGAACATTTTGATTTTTATAAACCCAATTATAAAAAATAAATATTTTTAATAATAAATAAATAATACATGCACAAAATTGATGAAAATAGTGAAATATTCACCCCAAGATCGATGCAAGATGACCAGGACGACCAACCGCCAGTAGAAGATCCCCATGACGGTTTAGAAATTCTACATAAAGATGATGATATCGAATCTCTAGAAGTTGTTGATGATGAAGCAGAAGGTTTGTTCTTGGGTAGAGAAAATGTGACGGAAATGGGCACTGTTTTGCCTGAAGAAGAAATTATGCCGGGGAATACGAATGGTACAACGGGAGAGCAGGATGTAGCAGAGAAACCAGATTATGGGGAATTGAACCAGGAAGGATTATCAACTGATGAATATACTTTAGAACAAGACCAACCGCAAGATAATGGAAATGGTGCATTAGACCTGGAATCGGATGATGATGATTATTCGGTTCCAGAAGAAGGTATTCTCCTTCTATTATTAAATTGATTTCAGAAGTATAAAGTAGATGATATTCAATGTAAATTGCATTTATTTTGAAGTTAGATACCTAAATTTTAATTTTATAATGGAAGAAATCTTCTATTTTGCACTATTTTGCAATATTTCAGATTTTTTCATAGTAATTTAAAATTTTTAATCCCTAATTATATTTCGTCCAATATCCACGTCATCACAACTGACAACAAAAAGTCAATAGATTTCGGAAATTTCAAGCTCAATATCATTTTGAAACAAATAAAAAATTTCTATTTGAAAAACAATTTTAACTTCCATTAACCCTTTCAACTAATAATTTTTCATTATCCTTCAGCTACAACCAACCAAGAAGAGCCCTCATTTACCAACCAAGTGACGACCACCCAAAAACCGACAACCAACAATGTAAATCATCAAATTGATTTTAGTGATTATATTTTTGAGATGACCACAGACAAAAACGGTAGTTCCGACGATGATCATGGTTTGGAGATTCTTGAAGAATTCGACTACGATAATGATGAAGATGGACCAAGTTATGGGTTTAATTTTGGTGGTGCTTTAAGCAGTCTTTTGGGAAGTAAGTATTTGCATAGAGTAAAATAGTTTGAAGGACGCAGTTATTTAAAACAATTATAACTATTATTATAAAGTTTAAGTAGTTGTTAGCTAATTTAAACTTATAATGATAGCAAGTGAAATAGCAAGTGGATACCAGATTTGCCTTGTGACAACAAAGTAGTCCGTTTGGTGTCTTGCACGAATGATACTCATTTTCACTTAAAAATATAGACAAAAATAGGTTTTTAATTGAAAATTAATTTCCAATTGATCTGCAACCTCTTAGGTAGCAAATTCAGTAGAGAATAAAATATTTTATGTAAAAACTTTGCTGCGTTCACTTAATTTTTTTACTCTATAAATATTACTTACTTTCTAAAAGCGGCGCATTCATAAAATAAAATTCCTTATCAGGACAATCAATAATAATTTTCTATCAATTATTAAAATAACATACATGAGATAACAATCAAGCAAAAATTGCTAGGAAATCTCTTTCCTAGTAAGTTATTTCCTAAATAATTTTCCAAATTTTTTCTATAGGTTATGGACAACAATCCGACGGACCAGAACCCGTACCCGAACAAGAAAACGAATCCCAAGAAGAACCGTCCCAGCACGCCACTGGAAACGCTACCATAAATTTGTCGTCGGTCATACATTTTAACATTGTTAATAAACCCGCAGTCTCTAAAGTCTATAATAGAAAGACGAAAGTTCAAAATCGGTCCAACCCTTTTATGATGTTGTTCTCCAGGAGAAGATAGATAGATTGAAATAAATTGTTATTGCTCGTTATAGATAAAGTCATTATTTTCGTAAAATATTTGATATTTGTTTGATATTATAGCCCTGAAAAGGGGCACAGAATCAAGCACATACATCCACCCATCAATGACTAGGAAATATATAATAATAATAATAATAAATGGTAGTGTGCCCGAAGGCAGCTCCATGGTGTGAGAGCACGACAAATTGAGGATTCTCGTTTTCTCCCTTGTTTATTATTCCCATTACCAATCTTCACTCATTCAATCATTCATATGCATTTTCCTTTCCAAACTTCTGCTTCAATGTTTTCTGGCCCTGTGCTTTAACTTTCAGTTCCCTGTATTTTTTTTTCTCGCGTAGGTCATTAATCATCTGCATTCTTCTTTTTCCCAATACTTCTATTTTGTCTACGACGACGTGTAGGAAGCATTCTTTTTGCAGAATGGGTCTGAACCTGTTTCCTTTTCTTTTCACGATCGAGCTCGGCAGAGTTCTTTCCTCGTCCACTCTTCTCAGCACTTTTTTCAACTCCTCATATGATGATATATTACGGTTTTATTTTTCGATCGTTGACTTCTATGTCCTTCCGTAAATAGTTGATCACCATTCTTTTTTCAGTCCCTCTAATTTGCCATAGATATTTCAAACTAGTAGTGCATGGCATCGTGCCTCGAGACAAACTGCTGGAACTTCCGTACAAAAAATTAAAGATTTTAAAAAGGATTCAATTTTTTTTAGAACGTTGACAAAAATAATTTTTTGAGATTTATTTTTTTTAAAAAAAAATGACCTTTTTGAAAATTTGTTTTTTTATATTTTTGAACTTTGATTTGTTCTTATTAAAATATCTATAAAACATGTGATAATTTGATGTGCATATGTCGAATGATCATTTTTGTCCGCCAAATGGCTTTTTTTTTTCGATCGTTGACTTCTATGTCCTTCCGTAAATCGTTGATCACCATTCTTTTTTCAGTCCCTCTAATTTGCCATAGATTTTTCAAACTAGTAGTGCATGGCATCGTGCCTCAAGGCAAACTGCTGGAACTTCTCGCACCAAAAATTAAAGATTTTAAAAAGGATTCAATTTTCTTAGAACTTCGAAAAAAATAGATTTTTGAGATTTTATTTTTTTTTTTAATGACCTTTTTGAAAAATTAGTTTTTTTTATATTTTTGAACTTTGGATTTCTTCTTATCAAAATATGTATAAAATATGTGAAAATTTGATGTGCATATGGCTAAATGATCACTTTTGTCCGCCGAATGGCTTTTTTTTACTTTTTTTTACTTTTTTATTGGATCTCCGAAGCCGCTAGCCTTACCAACACTTTCATCAGTTCTTCATTTTCTCAATACAAATAAAGTGTTTTTTGAATCATTCAAATCGGACGCTCCGTTTTCTAAAAAATTGAATTGCCATCTTTGGCACTTTTTGCCCCGTATATCCAGAACGGCTGAACCTGTCCCTCTGCTAAAAATTAATCAGCACGTCGCCTTATCAATAGGAATCGAATGTTTTTTGAATTATTCAAATCGGTTGATCCGTGTTCTTGGAATCGTCGACAAAAAATTGTATCCGCACATACACACATACATGCATTTTTCCTAAAGTATGCCAAAATGTTCGGAAACCTTTGAAACGTAAAGATATATGAAAATTTTTGTTTTCGTTGTTTTTTTGCGATTACTACCGAGTCGAAACGGTTAATAATGGTCCGATCGAGTTTCCTTCTCTTTTCGCAATCATATCCAGTCAAATTACTTCTTTTTCCAATTTTTGCAGTACCTCTTTATTAGTTACGATTCGGGTTTGCTATCTATTATTTTTTTTAAACCCTATGGGTCCGATCTAGTTTCCTTTGCTTCTATATTTGCTACGCTTTCTACAGCATAATTATAAATTGAAAAAACTAAGAAAAAACGCAATTCAAAAATTGATAAATTAGTGAAAGCGTGGTTCTGAAATCTGTTATACCTGAAGACTTGTTAATTCAATGACAATTACAGTCTCAGTAATTATTTCCTCTCCCAGTTTTTGCACTACCCTTTTATGTGATTAGTTTCAGACCAACATATTGGCATTTGGCATGACTTTCAATAAATGTCGAAGAAAACTTATGTCTTCTATTTTTGAAAACCCTGTTTTTCACACGAACAATTATATATGAAATAGTCTAGAGACCATATCTTTACCATCTGTACCATCCCTACCATACTACAAAATCCCTAGAGGTAATATTCATGACGACCTTTGCCGGGTTTGCTAGTGTATATATATACTAGCAAACCCGGCAAACTAATAAATAAATAAATTAACAATATATTTACTTACTTGGTATCTGCGATCGTCCAAAGCCATGAGTGCAATAAAAGCAGTAATTTGAAGCAAAAAGTCGATCAGTAAAGAAACTGCTGCATACATAGCAAATGTTTTCACAGCTGGCATATCAGATATTGAACCTAAAAAATTATAAAAAAAATAAAATTATTAGAAATCATGCTTTATAACAACTTACAACACGTTACAACACTTAATATTATATGCAAAGATTTATGTAAACGGAAAATTATCAAATTAGGAAACTTTTCTCAAAATGCAAGCTTATCAAAAATATTAAGATGTAGTAACAATGAATTATTTGTATATGGTAAATGAAAACTATTTATTATTATTGCATATAAAATATAAAAACTAATAGAATAATATTTATAAGTAACACCAGTAAATGGAAATTCATCAAATAAAAAAGCCTTTCTAAGTAGTCCAATCTATTTTATAATTAGTATTTTAAGTATTACTGAAATGATGTACTTCCAGTTAGTTAACCATTAAATAACTTTGAAGGAACAACAGTTTTTACTTATTCAAAGACGTATAAATTACTGATTATTATTATTTTCAACAAATTACCTATAGCAAAGCAGCAACATTCTGAAGTTGATGTCAACAAAATTGAAGGTCCAACTTCTCCCAAGGCACGACCAATTCGTTCTGCGGACGACTCACTCTATTTTAATAAAAATGACAATTATTAATATAAGGTAATATATAATGAAGAATTTAGTTAAATTGATGTATAAAAATCATTCTAAATCATATCCAAATAATTATATAATAATAGTTATTCTTTATTAATTATTTTTTACATAGTTTTCCATAGTCGACTTCAAAATGAGTTTGATAAAAAAACTTTGATAAAATTGGTATTATCGTCGTTATCTCATTTCTGATTGATAAAGTCGATTATTTACATACTGGAAAGTGCATGCAACTTGCCTCAAGGCAAAATGCCACTTGCACCTAGTTTCTTATCAACTTTTGCCAATTAAGTATCTATTACATCTCACCTTTATTACTGGTAACCGTTGGTGCGTTTGTACCAGAATAAAAATATTGTCCACCCCGACAGCCAAAACCAAAAACGGGATGACCTCAATAGTCAAAAGAGTACTGGGCACTTTTAAGTAACTAAAAACGCCCAAACTGCCAATTACTGATGCCAATACTAACAAGATGCCACCGACGCCGACTGTTATTTTACTATCCAACTGAAAAAAAAATTAAAATAATAAAATTTAAAACATAAAACAAAAATGAGTGGCCTTAGGCAAAGAGAGCAAATATTTCGTACACGTTTTTGCCAAAAATTCTAAACTTATGTAAATATAAAAACCGTTTAAAAGATATCAGTTGGGAATCGTCATTAGTTTAGTAAAGATTGACCAGACCAGTTGAAATACTCCAAGCTAATTCTAAAATACTTTTTTTATTAATATTTTATGATAAATAAATTTATGTACTTACCATTAAAGTCTTGAACGATCTGATTTTACCCAAAGCCAAAGCAATGTACACAAACATAACCAAATAAGATATCACCATGGTTAATACTTCTGCTTTGGATATTGCCTCCAACTCGTCTTCAATACTTCTTTCGCTAGAAAACCCTAACTCCATAAATTCTGGAGCATGTTCCGTATAATTTTTCATAAATTTTATAAATCTAAAAAAAATTAATATATAAATATAAAAAAAGCATAAACAGTAGATAAAATACAATTACAAATAAATATATACAATATCTATATCCTAAAATATCTTTCTTACCTTTTTTCCCAAAGACGTGCTGGTTCCTGATCCTTTTTGCTCAAATGGTTCCTCACCAGAAAAGTAAGCACCATACCAGTAGCTTTCGAATAATCAGGCTTTTCAGTTTTATTTTTACCTGCAAAGACACCTCCAAAAGCTACACCTTGTTCTATTGGACCCCCATAAGGTGCTAAACATTCAGGATTGTATGCATTGCTAAAATAAAAAATATGAGGAATTGTAGAAATATTGAAGGAATACATATATAAATAATAATTTAGTTAAAGTGTTTTTAAAATACACTTACAACATGCACGTATATAGATGATCCAAATAATTAGTAACAATTCCATTTTGGTCTTCAAAAGATCTATTGAATTTATCCATGTCATGTTGAAAATAGCCGAAAAAACTTTGAACAGTACATAAATCAATATTTGGTTCAGAATTTGAAGTTGCCAATGGTGCAAAACAGATTTTGTCTAGACCTTTGCCATAATCCATACCAATCTAATAAAAATTTAATTATTTTATGCAGTACTTTTATTATAAATCATTTGTAAAGACTTTAAATTATTTTGCTTACCTTTTGTATAGCTTCTTGAAGTTTAATTACTTCTAGTAAAAATGTTTTATTGAAAGCTGGTCCAAATATTAAGGTTTCATCAGCCTTCCTATGTTTTATCTATAAACATAATACCTTTCATTTCTATTTTTAAATTATAACTATCATTGATTTTTTCAAAGTTATACCTCTTTTAATCCTTTAGCTTTGATAAAAATTTGTTCAGTTCTATAAAATGGTCCAAAGTGTTCATCAAAATAGTTCTTTTCCAATCTGGCTTGGCTATCAGGAGCTGCCCATATTTCTACTGGATCTACTGTTATGTCTAAATACATTGCACCATGAGCTAAGAGGGCAAGAATCCAGGAAATGATAAACAATACCAGGACAGGGTGTTTAGCGCAACCTATAATAAGAAAATAAAAAAATAACTTGAGGCAAATTGCTGGAACTTCCCGTACCAAAAATTAAAATTATTAAAAAAGATTTACTTTTTTTTTAGAACTTTGAAAAAAATCGATTTTTGAGATTTTCGAAATTTTTGAAAGAAATTGACCGTTTTAAAAAAAAAATTATACTTTAAATTTTTTTCAAAGCGACTTTCAAAGCAAAGCCCTGTATCTTCGAAACGGCTAGACCTGCCTTTGCCAAACACTAATCGGCACGTCTCCCTATCAATAGGAATCGAATGTTTTTTGAATCATTCAAATTGGAAGATTCGTGTTCTTGAAATCGTCGACGAAAACTTGTATCCGCACACATGCACACACACATCATTTTTTGTAAGGTTTGCAAAAATGTTCAGAAACCTTTGAAAGATATATATATATATATATATATATATATATATTTTTTTTTTTGCGATTACTATAACTTACCCTACGGGAAGTTTAAAATGAAAATTCAAAGTACTTTGTTTTTTTTGTGACCTTGCACTAAAGATTAATGTTTACTTAAAATATTGTCGAATATTTCTTTACCTGTACCCCACCATGTAAAAAAACTCTCCATTCCGTCCAACATCTTTTGTCCAATATTGCAACCCAACCAGCATCCATCAGCTTTTGCTTGGTCGTGATTTCTAGAGTAACAAGCTGAAAATATAAAATAACTGAAGTTATATAGAATTATTATATTTATTAGATACTGATGGGCAATTATATTTAGATGCTATTTTATCTAATATTAATTCATGATACTAGAGATGATATTTTGCAAAAGTAAGGTGCTCCTCATCTAACGAACGAGTACGAACGAACACGGACAAGCAAGAACGTACGTATCAAGGTGTGGTCCAAACCTAACAAACGAACACAACATGATGAATAATGCGCAGATTAAAAATTTCAAACAAAAGCGAACATGTTCGTTCGTGCTCGTTCGCTAGGTGTGGACGCACCTTCAGCATGAACGCCAACGAGCATAGTCGGGACGTTACAACAAACACGAACGAGCACAAAGCAAGAAAGCATTTTAATTGACAATTCTACTTACACAATATGATTGTGACTACAGTTCCAGAAATTCCCAAACCAACCGCTAAAAAAAGAGCAACAGCGCTAATATCAAAAATTTTCCAAATTTCTTCCTCGCCCGGAGGAATATTTCCTGCTGCGCAAGTTGCTTCACAATCGACGCAACTACAGGCAGGAAAACCCTGAAAAAAATATTTATAATAAATATATTAATTTGCAATATATAAATAACTAATACAATTTCATGAGAATATGTGTCGGCATTGAGGTAAAATAATTTTTAGACAAATATCGAAAAGACAGTGTGAATGTGTACGGTTGACAGAAATAGAACGAAGTAGAATGCAAATCGCGATTTGTCGAAAAAAATTGTATTAGTTTAAATTATTACATTGTTATATTAATTTATTAACTAAATCCATTAAAGTTTTTCGTTTACCTCAGCGGATTCACTACATGGTTTAAAAGGCGGATTCATAGCATTACTATCATTGCTAAGTTGGTAGTCCAGGCGAAAAGGAACGAAAGGATTATTCACATCATCGCCCATGTATTCGAAAAACCTAAAAACAATATAATTATTTTATAATTATTACAATTATTTTTCAATTATTCTACTACTAAATCTAAATCTTCAAACAGACAGGCTCCTCTGTCTGTCTGAGATATGAAAATAATGTATATATAAATAAATAAAATAAATTTTTAAAAATCTCTTTTAAATTCGCCCATTCTACTTATGTCCTCTAATTTTAACTTAATTAATAATGAGATAGATATTCATAACACTTTGTTTAATCGAATAATCTCCATCTGCTCAAGTTAACCTTTTTATTTCTTTTCAAATATCTTATTATTTTTATCTTATTCTGTAAATAAATAATATTGTTACATTCTGTATTATGTGTAATTTTATGTTAAGCACATAATTAATTTTACTATATATTGTAATTTTGTACACATGTTAACTGCTATCCATAATGTAAAATAATTGTATTTTCGAGTCCTCTTGGAAGAAATATATTTAAAAATAAATAGATAAATAAAAATAAATAATGATATACAGATAAATAAATCTTCTTTAATATGAATTAAATATTTTAAAATAGAACGTGAAAACATATTTGTTTTATAGCGTTGGTATGTTAGAACATCTTCAGAAACTTCACTCCTGTTTTTTTTTTTAAATGCGATAACACTATTGGCACAAATGAACACAGCAAGCTCTTTTTTTAATTTACAAAACAAAAAATCATCAAAATCAACAACGTACAGAAAATCGTGAAAAATATTTTCACTACAAAATTTATTGTGTAGTTATTGTATTTTATTCAAACTTTAAAACATAAATTTTATACTGGTGCTCTTTCAACAAATAGTTCTTCAAACTGAAGGTAAGTGGCATTTGGTTTTTCAATTTTTATTTTTTTTTAAACTTAAGGTATATTATAATAGATCTTATAAGACATGTGTATTATAAGGTTTATGTATATAAACCATTCCATTTATTGTGTCAATAAAAAATCTGACCATAATATCCTTCATGCAAAATTTCCTAAATTTAACAGAAAAAAAATTGACACAAATAAACAAAGTAAGCTTTTTTTTCATTTTGCGAAACAAAAAATCATCAGAATCAACAACGTTTGAGAATGCCGAAAAATATTTTTCCTACAAAATTTAATGAGTGCAATTATTGTATTTAATTCAAACTTTTAAAACTTAAACTTTATATTGCTTTTTAAGGGGGTAAATGAATTTGAATTTTGAGGAACAATTTTCTAAATTGAGGGTAAGTAGGTTTTGGTTTCGCAATTTTTGTCATATTTTTGGAATGTTTGATATATAATCACGGACCTTATAATACATATGTATTATAAGGTCTATGTGTATAATCGATTACTTCTCCTTCTTTCAATAAAAAGTCTGACTATAATTTAAATTTCGTAAATTTAAAAAAATGTTGCTCCAGAGCAGCGTTAGATGGAACTAGTAAACATTTTAATCAGATTCAGAGTCGAACAATACTAAATCTCTGGCAATCCCAAAAAAATGTATTTGCTGATTGGCTGTAAGCTCTAATCATTTCGTTCTCTTGTTTTTCGGTGCTATGTTCGTTCATAAGTTTTGTGACTTTAATGCATTTATTAGTCGAAGGTTATCTATTTTCCAAGTGAATAAATCTTTCTATTAATTTCCACCAGTGTTCCTTATGGTGTTTGGAGTCACCAGATTCCGAGTGACCAGACTTCAAGGTAACGACTGTGCCGCCTGGACCGCCTTCAAACAAGATAACCTCCATTTTTTAATGTACTTTATTTTCCAAAGTTCAGGAGCAGTTTTTTAAATTGGAGGTGAGAGAATTTTGGTTTCGTATTTTTTTACATTATTTTTTTGAAATTTTAGCTATATAATCTATTCCTTGTTTTATTTGTGTCAACGAAATTTCTGATCGCAGTAAGCATTTGTTTTTTCAATTTACAAAACAAAAAATCATCAAAATCGAGAACGTATAGAAACCGTGAAAATATTTTCACTACAAAATTAATTGGTTGTAATTATTGTATTCTATTCAAATTTTAAAACTTAAATATTATGATGGTGCTTTTTAAGGAACAGCTTTTTAAATGGGGGTAAGTGAATTTTGGTTTCGTAAATTTTGACATATTTTGTGAAATTTTGGATATATAAATCCATTCCTTGTTTTGTTTGTGTCAATGAAATTTCTGATCACAGTAAGCATTTGTTTTTACAATTTATAAAACAAAAAATCATCAAAATTGAGAACGTATAAAAATCGCAAAAAATATTTTTACTACAAAGTTTAATGATTGTATTTGATTCAAATTTTAAAACTTAAATATTGTATTGGTTCTTTTTAAGAAACAGCTTTTTAAATTGGGGGTAAGTGAATTTGGATTTCGTAATTTTTGACATATTTTTTGAAATTGTGGACATGTCAATGAAATTTATGATCAAAATCAACAACGTTTGATATTTTTACTACAAAATGGCGAATAATGGAGGCGATTATTGTATTTAATTCAAATTTTAAAACTTAATATTATAATGAATGTGAATTTTGCTTTGGTAATTTTTGTATATTTTTTTGAAATTTTGGAACGTGCCAATGAAATTTGTGATCAAAAAACAATTGGCACAAATGAACACAGCAGGCTTTTGTTTTTTCAATTTACAAAACAAAAAATCATCAAAATCGAGAACATATAAAAAGCGTAAAAAATATTATTACAAAATTTAATGAGTGCAATTATTGCATTTGATTCAAATTTTAAAACTTAAATATTGTATTGGTATTTGCTTTTTAAGAAACAGCTTTTTAAGGGGGTAAGTGAGTTTGGATTTCATCATTTTTTATATATTTTTTGAAATTGTGGACATGTCAATGAAATTTCTGATCATTAAACAAATGAAATTTGACGCAAATGAACACAGCAAGCGTTTTTTGTTTTTTTATTTTACAAAACAAAAAATCATCAATGTCAACAACGCATGAAAATAGTGAAAAATATTTTTACTACAAAATTTATTGATATAATTATTGTATTTTATTCAAACTTTTAAAACTTAAGCTTTATACTGGTGCTTCTTGATGAATAGTTTTTTAAATTGAAAGTAAGTGACTCTTGGTTTCTCTTTTTTTTAAATTATGAAATATTTCGATTTTTTATTAATTTCGTTTTTTTTTTGCTTTTTTGAAAATATTTTTTTTTTTAAATTATTTGCAAATTAATTTTTTTAAAATATTCGATTTTCTTCAAACTTGCAAAATATTCTGATATTATTGAAAAATTTCTAGCTTTTTTAAATCATATTTTTAAAAATTTTCAAAATTTTTAATATTTTTTTGAAAATTCTGAAGTAATTCGAAAATTTTATTTTTTTCAATTTTGATTTTTTTGAGAATTTGGATTATTTTTTCAATATTTTGAAATTTTCGAGAAATTGTATTCGCACATACATACACACATGTACACACACATCCATTTTTTCTGAGGTATGCCAAAATATTAAAAAAATCCCTGAAACGTGAAGATGTATAAATATTTTCATTTTCGATTTTTTGCGATTACAATATTTATTGGGTGTTATTATTGCATTTTATTCAAACTTCAAAACTTAAATTTTATACTGGTACTTTTTGAGAAACAATTTTTTAAATTGAGGGTAACTAGGTTTCGCAATTTGCGTCATACTTATTGAAACATTAAATATATAATACATATATGCATTATTTGTTTCAATAAGAAATCTCACTAATTGAAATTTTCTAAATTTAAAAAATTGTTGCGCCAGAGAGGCGTTAGATGGAACTAATAAACATTTTAATCAGATTCAGAGTCGGACAATACTAAAATCTGGCAATCCCGAAAAAATGTATTCGCTGATTGGCTGTAAGCTCTGATCTTTTCGTTCTCTTGTTTTTCTGGTGAGATGTTCATTCGTGTGCTTTGTGACTTTAATGTATTTTTCGAGAGTTATTTATTTTCCTTGTGAATAAAACCTTCTATTAACTTCCACCAGTGTTCTATATGGTGTTTGGAGTAATTTTTTCATCTGTAATAAAATTCCGAGTGACCAGACTTCAAGGCAACGAAGATAACCTCCATTGTTTTTTAACAAGATGGCAATTGATGTTGGTGCAGACATTTCTCGATAACAGATTATTCAAGAAACGTACGGAAGTTTCACAACAAATGAATCCTTCAAGTAAGTGACAATTTCTTAAAATTCTATACCTAAATTGAGAATGCGCGAGAAAAATGCATAAAATTAGGCGATGAAATTAACAAATCAAAACGGTTAGAGGATCCGAGTTTTGTGCCAAAGGATGCCGACATAAGGGCGTTAGGAACTTTTTGTGCAAAAATGAAGCATATTGAAAAAATGATGAATAATAAAATTATTCATTTTATATAAATGATGAATAATATAATCATTGATTTAATATATTTTAATCTACAACACCAGACAGTATTGCCAAATATCATTTACCATCCATAGAAGAATCCAAATTCCTTTCTTTGTTTTGTTTGCGCCAATGAAATTTCTGATCATAAAGCGATTGACACAAATGAACATAGCAAGCTTTTGTTTTTTTCAATTTACAAAACAAAAAATCATCAAAACCGAGAACGTATAAAAATCGTGAAAAATATTTTTACTACAAAATTTAATTTGTATTCAATTATTGTATTTTAATCAAATTTTAAAATCTGATCATTGTATTGGTGCTTTTTAAGGAATTGTGTTTTATGGGGGTAAGTGAATATTGGTTTCGTAATTTTTATATATATTTTTTTTATTTTTTCGATAATTTTTATAATTCATTCCTTATTTTGTTTGTGTCAATCAAATTTCTGATCACGGTAAGCATTTTGTTTTTCCAAATTACAAAACAAGAAATCATCAAACTTGAACGTATAAGAATCGTGAAAAATATTTTTACAAAATTCAATGAGTGTATTTATTTCAAATTTTAAAACTTAAATATTATAATGGTGCATTTTAAGAAACAGTTGTTTTTGTAAGTGAATTTTGCTTTTGTAATTTTTATATATTTTTTGAAATTTTGGACATATGAAATTTGTGATCAAAAAACAATTGACGCAAATGAACACAGCAGGCTTTTGTTTTTTTTTTTCAATTTACAAAACAAAAAATCATCAAAATCGAGAACGTATAGAAATCGTGAAAAATATTTTTACTACAAAATTTATTGAGTGTAATTATTGTATTCTATACAAATTTTAAATATTATAATGGTGCTTTTTAAGGAACAGTGTTTTAAATGGGGGTAAGTGATTTTTGGTTTCGTAAATTTTGACATATTTTTTTAAATTTTGGATATGTTATAAATCCATTCCTTGTTTTGTTTGTGTCAATGAAATTTCTGATCACAGTAAGCATTTTGTTTTTTCAATTCATAAAACAAAAAATCATCAAAATCAACAACATATAGAAATCGTGAAAAATATATTTACTGCAAAATTTAATGAGTGCAATTATTGTATTTTATTCAAACTTTTAAAACTTAAATATTATGATGGTGCCTTTTAAGGAATAGTGTTTTAAATGGGGGGGTAAGTGAATTTAATTTAGATTTCGTAATTTTTGACATATTTTATGAAATTTTGGATATATAAACCCATTCCTTGTTTTGTTTGTGTCAATGAAATTTCTGATCACAGTAAGCATTTTGTTTTTTCAAATTACAAAACAAAAAATCATCAAACTTGAGAACGTATAAAATCGTGAAAAATAATTTTACTACAAAATTTATTGGTTTTAATTATTGTATTTTATTCAAAATTTCGCAATTTTTGACAAATAGACATTTTAGATATGTCAATAAAATTTCGGATCATAAAATCATTGACACAAATGAACAACACAGCTGGCTTTTGTTTTTTTTTTCAATTTACAAAACAAAAAATCATCAAAATCGAGAACGTATAGAAATCGTGAAAAATATTTTTACTACAAAATTAATTGGTTGTAATTATTGTATTCTATTCAAATTTTAAAATTTAAATATTATAATGTTGCTTTTTAAGGAACAGTATTTTAAATGGGGGGTAAGTGAATTTGGATTTCGTAATTTTTGACATATTTTTTGGACAGATATGTCAATGAAATTTCTGAATATAAAACAAATGAAATTTGACACGTGAACACAGCAAGCTTTTTGTTTTTTTCAATTTATAAAACAAAAAATCATCATTTAATGTCAATGTATAATTATGAAAAATATTTTTCCTACAAAATTTATTGGGTGTAATTATGGTATTTTATTCAAATTTTAAAATTATACTAGTGCTATTTAACGAATAGTTTTTTTTAAATTGAAGGTAAGTACTTTTATTTCATAATTTTTGATATTTTTTTAAACTTCAAAATTTTTTTAGATTCTGAAATCCAATTCAATTTTTTTTAGTTAAACAATATTGTTTTATATAGAACTAGTAGTGCGTGGCGTCGTGCTTTAAGAGAAATTGCTGGAACTGTTAAAATTTTGAATATTTTTTAAAATATTTAAAATTTTGAATATTTTTTAAAAATTTTAAATTTTTGAAAATGTTTGAAAATGTTTAAATTTTTAAAAAACTTTGAAAATTTTAAAAGTTTTGAAAAACTTTGAAAATTTTAAAATTTTTGAAAAACTTTGAAAATTTGAAAATTTTTGAAAAACTTTGAAAATTTGAAAATTTTTGAAAAACTTTGAAAATTTGAAAATTTTTGAAAAACTTTGAAAATTTGAAAATTTTTGAAAAACTTTGAAAATTTGAAAATTTTTGAAAAACTTTGAAAATTTGAAAATTTTTGAAAAACTTTGAAAATTGAAAATTTTTGAAAAACTTTGAAAATTTTAAAATTTTTGATAAACTTTGAAAATTTTAAAATTTTTGATAAACTTTTAAAATTTTAAAATTTTTGAAATACTTTGAAAATTTTAAAATTTTTGAAAAACTTTGAAAATTTTAAAATTTTTGAAAAACTTTGAAAATTTTTAAATTTTTGAAAAACTTTGAAAATTTTAAAATTTTTGAAAATATTGAACCTTTTTATAAATTCTGAAATTTTTGAAACTCATTTAATCAATTGATCCATAGTATCTAATCTAACAAAATCTAATTTGTAGGATATTTCAAAATGTTCAGAAACCACTGAAACCTAAAGATATGAAAAAAATTTCATTTTCGATTATATTGCGATTACTATAACTTATCCTACGGGATGTTAAAAAAATGTTCTTTGACAGAATAAATTATGATATTGATATAAAAATTTAACGTAATTTTTTTCAATCTTACCTTTGTGGAGAACACCTGGAGGCTCCGTAACTTCCACAAGCAAGGTCCATGGCCAGCATTCCACTTGAAGGTACCACGACTCCTTTGCAGGAATCATAAGTTCCATTCACATACGTTTCGGAGATTTGAATGGACATTTCTTTAAAGTATTCTAAAAAAAATTAGTAAAATTAAGTAATTAAGTACTAACCAGAATGACTATAAATATATGCAAAAATTTCAATTACATATATGTCTTAAAATATTATTTGTATTCACTGACCTTTTCCGTCATCAGGATTCACAGTTTTATTGCCGGTCATCCACTTGGCCTGATCTGGGGAACAGGAAAACTGGCAAATACTTTTCACCAGATTGTTCATGCAGGTTCTGCATCTGCTGAAAATTCCTGAAGCCAAAACGATGTTTGTTCCCATAGTTTTGATCAATTGAGGACTGCAGCAAGTATAAGCTTCACCTGGTAAAAAAATATTGTTTTAAATTCTTCAATATTTATCAGGTGGAGAAGGCTACATTCGGAAAAGCTCGGTAACAAAAGCAAAGTGGTAAAAATGATAAAAATGGTAAAAATATTGGTGCAGATTGAAAACTAACTACTGATGAGTTCAACACAAAATGCTTTCACTAGAACTATAAATTTACTTTCTCATTGTAAATTTAGAGTCAGGTATTTACATTAAATTAAAGTAAATTGCTACATGATTCAGCTTCTGGGTAAATGAAGAAATATAAAATTTCATAATCATCAAACTAATTAATATTAAAAGTGAGATAATTTTTTTTATAAATATTAAAATTGAAGCTATTTTTAAGCAATTAATTTACTATTATGAACAATTAACTGACGGAAAAGCTTGAACCATTTTTAAAATCGTTTAAACATGATTATTAATAGAATTTGAACACATTTCATATAATTTTTTTTTAATAATTATTATTAACTAAAACTTATTTTTTGAAAATGTATTAAAACCTATAATTAACCAATTTTGTAATTTTTTCTAATTTTGATAAGGTAATCAAATATTTGTTAAATATCAAATAAAAATAACTTATTTTATATATATATATATATATATATATATATATTAGGGTGGTCCTTAAAATGGTAATTTTCGAATTTCCTTACTCCCATGGGCTTAAATAGTTCCTAATTGATAAAATACAATTCGCTGAAAGTTTTAGCTATTAATATTAACGTTTAGATAGAGCGCAATTCAATTCGCACTTCGTATGAAAAGAGCATGGAAAAAATTTTGAAATTCATTTGTTCGCTAAATTACATATAGAAAACATTTTTAAAATTTTTGAAAATTTCTTCATGCTATTTCCATACAAAACTTTGATTGAATTGCGCTCTATCTAAACGTTAATATTAAGAGCTAAAACTTTCAGAGAATTGTTTTTTATCAATTTAGAACCATTTGAGCCTCTGGGAGCAAGGAAATTCGAAAATGACCATTTTAAGGACCACCCTAATATATATATAAAGGTGGGTCGATTAGGCACATGATTTTTGGATACTAGAGACCAAAGTAAGATACTTTGCTAAAGAAACCATACCTCAAAAATGAATTCTCATGTCCCGTGCATTGACCCAAAAATAAGAGTTAAATTTTCTCAGGGGGGGGGGCAGGGGGTGAACCATGTCCATGGGCGGATCGACCTTCCAAAGTTAGCGGGGGTCGGTCGGTCATACATTTGGACGCCACTGGGGCACTCTAAATAGGTCAAAATTGAACCAAATTTTTTTTAAATTACCCTTATTTTTGGGTCAATGCACGGAACATCAGAATTCATTTTAAAAGTATGGTTTCTTCAGCAAAGTATCCTATTTTGATGCCAAGTATCCAAAAACCATATATGCCTAAGCGACTTTTTTAACCCATAGAAATCGACCCGCTCTAATATATATTAAATCATTTTTTTGTAATTTATTTGAAATCCATTTCAGCATCCTATCAACATCAGTGGAATATACTGTCATAATTTGGTATCCTTGATTGTTTTATTAACCACTATCGCTCAATAGAGTTAAAATGTGCACAATGGTAAAATATATATGTTTTGTCATTACAAAACACACAAACATCGAAACTGAGTTTGGGATAGAAAGATAGAGATTTCCATCTTTTTTGATAGAAAGATAGAGCTCATACAATTTTCTATCTACTGTGTTACAAAAACAATCTTTTCTTCTATACAGATTGTTGAAAGAATACTTCAGAATTTGGGAACTCAAAGCAGCCAGCGAAACTTTCCTAAATGGCTTTCTCCACTGTAAATATTCTCCCATTTTACTTCGCGAGATGCCGAAGGTAGCATCGACGCTCCTTAGTTGGTCCACCTCCTTCACCAGAACCCATTTCTATGCACCTTACCACCTTACCATCTTTACGGCTGGTGAGGGTGGACGACTGACTATGAAAGTGTTTGATGCGTTTTATGTGACCCTCTAGTGATTCCGAGGAATTTTTTCACCAATTATCTTCACGTTCTTCGTTCTGAGGTTTCACTGAGGCCACATACAATTGAAGGTATATTTTTTCCACAATATTTTATATATATATATATATATATATATATATATATATAAATGTTTTTTGACAGACTGGTCTGATGGTGAAACATATCTGTCCCGAAACGACGCAACACAAACTTATTATTATTCGAATTAACAAATAACACGCCGCCCCCCACACACGCAACTTAATGATGGTCTTGAATATGGATGTTTTCGAATTTTCTGGCTTCCAGAAGCTCAAATGCTTCCAAAATGATAAAAAACAATTCTCTGAAAGTTTTAGCTCTTAATATTAACTTTAAGATAATCCGCACTCCAACCGAAGTTTCTAGATTCTGCTTTCTAAGTGAATACTTATTCCACAAAATATATCAAATTTTTTGTGAAATTTTTTTATTTATGATCAAAGTAAGCAAATACAGTATTTTTCTCAAAATTTTGATTCACTTGTCGCTAAGTTATAAAATTCTAAAAAGCAAATGAAATTTTATCCATGTTATTCTCATAAGAAACTTTGGTTGGAGTGCGGACTATCTTAAAGTTAATATTAATAACTAAAACTTTCAGAGAATTGTTTTTAACTTCCCGTAGGGCAAGTTATAGTAATCGCAAAAAAATCGAAAATGAAAATTTTTATAGATCTTCTGAACATTTTGGCATACCTTAGAAAAAGTGGATGTATGTGTGTGTGTGTGCGTGTATGTATGTATGTTCGGATACAAATTTTCGTCGACGATTTCGGGAACACGGATCAACCGATTTGAATTATTTAAAAAACATTCGATTCGTATTGATAAGGAGACGTGCTGATCCGTTCCGAAGATACGGAGCAAAAAGTGCCGAAAACGGTAACTCAGTTTTTAAGAGAACGGAGCGTCCGATTTGAATAATTCAAAAAACATTTTATTTGTATTGACTAAATGAAGAACTATTCAAATTTTTGAAAAGGCAGGTCCAACGACTTTGGAGATATGGAGGAAAAAGTAAAAAAATGAGCCATTTGGCGGTCAAAAATGAACATTAGATATATGCACATCAAATTATCAGATATTTTATAAAGATTTTAACAATAAGTATGAATTTTGTTTACATTCCTATGGGTTCCGTACCAATGTTTACGCGTTAGACGGCGACGCGGCGCTTACGCACTTTGATATTTCGTCTTTATGCAGTTAAAGCAGTACAATCGTACTTTGAGAAAGAGTTCAGAATTTCCAAAATATTTCAAAATAAATGATTTAAGATAGAATGATTTAATATGGTTCAAAATTCTATTAAAAGTTTCAAATCATTGATCAACTTTTATTGATTACTATTGATTGTTTTTAATTACTCGAATTTTGAACTGCGGGGAGTACGGGAAGTTCCAGCAATTTGCCTTAAGGCACGATGCTCTAATTGCCTTAAGACAGAATTCCGCTTACAGCTAGTTTTTTTATCATTTTGGAAGTATGTATCCATATAAAGGACCACCCTAATATATATAAATTATCTACATTTACCAATTGTTTATTTTGTTACGTCAAAGTATTATCGGCGCTTGAATTTTATCACTGATTGTATCTATCAATTAGATATATATTAAAAAAAATTGATATATCGTGATAAAAACGGAATTTTCCAATCTTTGATCAATAATAAACGAAATATAAAATTTTCATATATAAAACTGAAAACGGTTTCTGACGTTGTACTAACACGCTAACATGATAAAACATTTTTACGTCCTATTTGTATATATTTAATTCATATTAGAAAAGATTAAAAATATATTATTATTTATCTATATCTCCTCATATTTTTTCTAGTTCTTCAGATACATGGGTGATATTTTGTCCTTGCCGTTTTCCTGTCGACCATACTTCCACACTGTGTTTCGTTTTGTCTAGTGATTGTTTTCGTCAAGGCTCCAGATCTAGGTAAGTTATGCATATTTCCATGAACATATAGTAGTCTACATATATATAAAAATAAGTCGGGTTTTCCTTCCTGGCAATTTTGCATTCGTTGGAAATGTCTCGGGCTCCGCAAGGTTTATAGCTAAGAAAATTAGTGGTGCATGGCATCGTGCCTTAATGCAAATTCTTGGAACTTCACGCACCGTAATTGAAAATTCGAGTAATGACATTAGTGAAAATTATCAGAATTATGCTTGGTTAAGTCAATGAGCAATTCTTGCCGCAAAGAATAATAATGTACACGCACTGAATTTCACCATTCAATCAAATTGCTGGCGATTTGGTGACATACCAATGATTCCGACTGGTATTTCGTTTGACTTTAAACGATTGCAACTTCCAGTTCGCCTTGCGTTCGCAATGACAACTAACAAGTCGCAAGGCCAATCGCTTAGTGTTTGCGTGATAAATTTCAAATAGATTATTTAGAAAATCATCGTTTTTCACATGGGCAGTTTTACGTTGCCTGTTCACGAGTTGGAAAACCATCCGCTTTGTTTGTGTTAACGCCAGACCAAAAAAACAAAAAATGTGGTTTACCAGAGAGCACTTCAATGAAACACTTCATTTTTGTAATCGAAATAACTTCATTACTGTTGCGCAATAAAATCAAATTTTTCCATTTCAAATATAAAACAAACAAAAAATTTCTTCATCTTTCTCACGAAAACATCTGGTGGCGAAACGGAGTTTGTCGGGTTTGCTAGTTAATATATATTAAAAAATTAATATATTCATATTAACTGAATTTTTTCAGGATTTCCCAGCCTGCAGTTGCGATTCTGGCGTAACTGAAACGGGAGGACATATCCGTCTAGGCGGGGAAAAGATCTGGAGCATTTTCGATGTCAGTGTCGTGTAGATATGTGGATGTTTTTGGGTTGTTTGGTAACTGTAGCGGCAATTTTATCGCGTAAGTAGAATTATTAAAGATTTAGTTTTATATTTACAATCATACTAATAATTGAAAGTGACATAAAAATATATCTTGAACTCAAATTCCACACATGTAGGCGTCCATTAATCACGTGATCGATTTTTAAGGATTTTTGGACTCCCCCTCCCTGTTGGTGATACGTGGCGATATTCAAAATTTTTAATTAATCAATTGGAAATAATTAAATTTTTGAAAAACTTTTTTTTTGAAATTTTGAAAAATTCTTCTTGAAAATTTTGAAACCCATTTAATTTAAAAAATAATAATTTTTGAAAATAAAGAAAATTTATAGATTTTTTTTTTAAATTTTAAACCTTTTTGAAAATTTTGAAATTTTTGAAACTCTTTTAATCGATTAATCCATAATATCTAATCCAATTAAATCTAATATATGCCAAAATATTTAGAAACTTCTGAAACGTGAAGATATGCAAATTTTTTGACTCTAGTAGTAATAAAACTAGTAGTGTATAGCACAGCGGTTTCCAACCTGAGGGACGCGCCCCCTTAGGGGTGCGCCAGGCTGTTCTAGGGTGGAGCGCGCAGTTTCCAGTATACTATTATCGAACATAATCTAACACTTTGGAAACGATATTAAAAAATAAACAAAAAATAATTAGTTTCTTTGCAGATTTTTACATAATATTGCACATTAATTTGTAGTCTGATATCTGAGTATTTATAAGATTAAACCGTTGAAAAAATTAAGGGGAGGAAGGTGCAACAATTTTCCTTATTAGAGCAGGGCGGCGCGGTGCAAAAAAGGTTGGAAACCACTGGTATAGCATTTGAATTTGATACAATCATGGTGGAACGCGAGATTCAAAAAAGCTTTGCTAATAGTTATTAACTCTAAATTATTATTATCATTGAATAATTATAAATTTTTGTTTAGGATAAAAAGATAGAGATTTCTATCCCAAACTCAGAACCGTAAGTACACTATTTAGATTAAATATTAAACATGTTTATTTGTGTGGTTTGTTGTAATGCCAAAACATATATATTTTACCATAGTGCACATTCTAAATCTGTGGAGCAATAATGTTTTCATTAATTAAGGATACCAAATTTTGATAGTATTTTCTACTGAACGAGCGCTAGGATGTTAGCCGAAACGCATGGATAACAAATAAATTTATAAAAAACATTTATATGATTTTTTATTATATATATATATATATATATATATATATATATATATATATATATATTATACCATAACCCCCCTTATTATACACTATGTTCCGTTAGTATTCACACCACTAGGATTCAAATAAGGACTCTATCCTAGACCTAGAAAGCTTAAGAATAACTCTTGTTGGACCGGCACTCTCTCTTGGCAACCAGGGGCGATATTAGAAGCTTAATTTATATTATAAAATATATATTGATATTCTGTTTTTACAAAGTGTAAATTGTTTTACAAATTATATTTAATATATCATCTTAGTGTTTTAATTACTAGATAAGAATTCCCTCAGGTTCCAGGGCAAAAATTTGTAACAATTTATCTTGTAATCTCTTATAAAAAAAGAAAAATTCAAATTGGTTCTATTTATTAATCAAAGGTCGTTAAACTGGAATTGTTGAGAAAATTTGATTTTTTTCATTTTTTTTTTTATTAAGAAGCTTGAAAAAATAATTTTTGAAAACTTGGTAAAACAAATATATTTTCATATTTTTTTTTTATTAGGAAGCTAGAAAAAACAATTCTTGAAAACTTTGAAAAACAAATAAAATAGATTTGAGAACTAAAATTTTTGAGAAAATTTGATTGTTTTTTCATAGTATTTTTTGATTAAAGTTTGAAAAAAATTTTTTTTTTGAAAAACAACTGGAATAGATTTGAGAACTGAACTTGCAGAACGAGCGTTGCCGACACTCGTGGAACAATCCCCTATTGAACAAATGTCATACGTTTTATTTAAATGGCAATTGTGAGGTTTGATAATTTTGTAAGAATTTTGATATTAATATTGCCCCTGTAAAATAAATGTAAATAAAATCGAATCCACCTGTTAAAATCGATTTATATATTATAAACTCTATGCATATGACGTTTAATCATTCGGGAGTGTTCCAAGAACCACTACGTGGACTAATTTTTTCTTCACAACAATTTAACAATTTGACGTGACATATGACATATGACATTTAATCTACGTGGACTAATTTTTTCTTCACAACAATTTAACAATTTGCACGTGACATATGACATATGACATTTAATCATTCAGGAGTGTTCCACGATTGTCGGCAACGCTCGTTCACTAAGTGACGTCACATTCCCTTTTATCTTTTGACACTAATTTTGCGCTCGACTAGCAGTCCATTTAGTGTAAGGGCCATGATCGAAACGCGTAAGCGCCGCGTTGCGGTCTAACGAATAAACATTGGTACGGAACCCATAGAAATATAAATAAAATTTGTATTATTGAAATTTCCATAAAATATCTGATAATTTGAAGTGCATATGTCTAATAATAGTTTTTGACACATACATTCATTTTTTCTAATGTATGCCAAAATGTTCAGAAACCTTTGAAACGTGAAGATATGCAAAAATTTTCATTTTCGATTTTTTTGCGATTACTATAACTTACCCTGCAGAAAGTTAAAAAATGCACTTTTAAACGCCATCGACTAATTTCTTACTGTTTGTACTAATTAAAACTAATTATGATCAAATTTAGACAAGTGTGGTAAATACTAAAAATATTAAATGATTTAACGATTTGATAACCTTGATTTATTAATCTAAAAGATAAAAAACAATTGTTCAATGTTCATTAAGCATCAATCATTTACCTTTATCGTTGATAAATTCCGGACAGTACGTCTGAAGTATTTTGAAGGCTTCGGCATCTTCCAGAAGTTTGGGTCCATGTGGAGGATTTGATGGGCAATTTTTGCCCCTGCCACCAACGTTCGTACATTCTTCGTACCATACGCAATTTTCGGTGGATTTTGCAGCTAATGCAGCCGTCGTCAGGAAGAGAAAAACTGAAATAAAAATTAATAGTTGTATCATTTTGCCTTAAGGCAAGTTGCATGAAGGGGAAGACATGTGTAAATAATTGACTTAAGAAAAAGAATTAGTATTAGGAAAATGAAGATGTAGCTTTCTAACATAAACGATTTTAAGTGAAATCTTTGAAACATATTAATATGTAATTGTATAAATTAAATTATTTTGTTTAGCACATTTCATTTCATCTGAAGCCGTTTGGGAATTGAACGATTTTGTGGTTTTACTATTATTTATTGCTATCTAATATAGATACAATATATTCATATATAATTCCTGGCTGTCGATGGTGAAAGAGACCTTTACTATCCGTTGGGCTTTTATACCCAACGAAACGGTTTTTTGATGCATGCCCATCAACAATAAAATCAGGGTCGTACTTAATGCAGGGCTGCAGTTGGGTGTCACCGCACATCCTTATCATGCTCTAAAAATCTATTTTATTTAAGTGTGGGCGCAAACTGCAATCAGCAGCTTCCAACGAAAAAACCACAGAACGTACAGATGCTTCGACATAGATTTTGATTACAATCACCCAAACATGCAACAAAATTCTAAACTTTGATAAATTTTTAAATTAAACGCTTATTGTAGGCCTGTAATATTTAGTATATAATTTCATTCTAAAAAATCTATCGTTACACAAAGTTTCAATATTTATTACAAGAAACGACACATCCGATCTCTACAAAACTCTAATCAAAGCGATCTTAACCAATACGTTTCGAACAGTTTTTGGATTTTTAAAATTGAATCAGGATGGTGGCCAAAACAAGGACGAAAATTTTACACATTTCTGCTAATTGCAAAGAAACGGCTTGGCCGATTCTAAATCTAAATTAAACTGAAGTTTAGTTTTTCTGCAGTTTTTTCACTTATAACGCAACCGTATGTTTGCCAGATTTTCTTGTATGGCATCTAGGCGTTTGAAAATAGAAGCATATAAACTTTTCATTGCATTTGTATCATTTATAAACAACAACAATAGCAAATATTATTTAACTACGTGTAAGTGGCATTTTGTCTTAATGTAAGTTGCATAAACTTAACAATATGGGTAAATAATTGATGTGACAGCAATTGTTATTTTGCTGTGAGTTGAACATTAACAGTTATTTGCCAGAAATGTGATTTTGCCTAAATAATTTAGCTCAGTCATAACGATGATTTGGTTTCAAAAGTGTGCGTTGGGTACGGTTGTGACATGTTGAAAGACTAAACATGTGAAGAAAAATCTAACTGAACTAACAATAAGACAAAATACGAAAAATATAGGTAAATGATGAAAGAACGATTCGTCTGGTTTGTGGCTGCCCATATTCTGAAAGTAGGGGTGGTGTAAAATAGATAAAGTGCCAAGCAACATGCGGTTTCTGTGGTTCCATGTAAAATGTGCAAGTGATAGTCACTTTTGTCACCATTGAATGATGATTTTGATTAAATCTCAGTATATTGATACATAGTCACTGTAAATTTTTGCCTGATTAGCCAAGGTAATTTACTAGTTAACATTTTTGACCGATTTTAAAGAAAAAAAATATAATAAAACTAAGCTAATTAATTATAAGAAGGAAAATGATTGCAACCGTCCTGAGAGTATGGACTATTGTGACAATCGTCCTCATCTTGTATGAATTGATTTTATAACTAATCCATCGTATTTGAGGACAGCATTTCAGTGCTCAAATTACCATTTAATAATTTCATTTTATGACTATTCCATCATATTTAAGAGCAGCATTTCAGTGTTCCCACTGCTCTAATTACTATTTAATTTACTTTTCTCCCAGCTAACTGGAAAATTTACAAAATTATTGCTGATAAAAAAAGTGACAAAACGCACAACCGTACTCCTATAATGAAAAGTTTCTGCAATTTTCAATAAATTATTATTTATACATAATAAGACAAATTATTTTCACATACTACAAGGCAGATACATTATATTTGCAACTTTAGCTATGAATAAAAATCCAGTATGTCTGTGATCAAGTAAAAAATAACCAACTGAAGCAAACATGTTTAAGGTACTGTAAAACTGATACTGTATTTTTTTATATATGCAATTTGTTGAATCGTTCAAACTTGGTAATAAATATTTATATAATTTATCACAACGTAATTCATAAACATAATTAAAAAACATATCCAAACATCACAAATTAAAATCCTAATCGTCCAAAAGTCCGATCCTCAGCAGAGGTTTCGCAAAAACCGTCATCATACATAATTTGGCGGTATCCAAATTCTCACTCACCTATTAACTTCATTTTTGAATTCTTTCTTCAAATTAAATAATCAATTAACAATAACTTATCCAACACACTAATTTTTTCTATCAAACACAAAACTTATAAAAAAATATCACAAACTAATCACCCAAAAATTTCATTTCGCCGTTCGCCTCGACGGCTTCTATTGCAATGGCTAAAAAACCCATTCATCAATTGAACAACTTAGGACAATCTTATCACCAAAACAGGTGTCCAAATCACTATCATTGAAGATGACAATGACTCTAAGCATCTTTATCAATCGAAAGCAACACCTGTGTGTTGTAAAATTAAAAATACTCAATCAATATCGAAACAAAATACTTGATATTTTCATAATCCTTTGTGTTTGTGACATGATATGCGCGCGTGTGTTGAAGATTTATGTGACGAATTATGTTATCTGGTTTTGTAATAGACGAATGGATTTATTTTTGCAACTATGTTTAAAGATTTTGTTGTAATCCCTTAAAATTTAAATTAAACTCAAGTTAGTATTTCTGCAGTATTTTATTAACTTCCCGTAGGGTAAGTTATAGTAATCGCAAAAAAATCGAAAATGGAAATTTTTATATATCTACGTTTCAGAGGTTTCTGAACATTCTGGCATACCTTAGAAAAATGGATGTATATATGTGTGTGTGTGTATGTGTGCGGATACAAATTTTTGTCGACGAATTCGAGGAACACGGATCAACCAATTTGAATAATTCAGAAAACAATTGATTTGTATTAATGGGGAGACCTGCTGATTAGTTGGCAAAAGCAGGTTCAGCCATTTCGTTCACATTATCGACTGAAATAAAAATAAAAGTAAATGGTTGTCTGCTCGAAGGCAAGTCGATGACGTGGGATGTTTGTGTGTGTGTGCGGATACAAATTTTCGTCGACGATTTCGAGAATACGGATCAATCGATTTGAATGGTTCAAAAAGCATTCGATTCCTATTGATAAAGAGACATGCTGATTAGTTTTTGGTAAAGGCAGGTCCAGCCGTTTCGAAGATACCAGGCAAAAAGTGCCAAAATGGTATTTCAGTTTTTGGGAGAACGTAGCGTCCGATTTGAATAATTCAAAAAATGAAAAACTGGTTAAATTTTAGGAAGGCAGGTCTAGCGTTTCCGGAAATCAATACAAAATGTAAAATAATGCCATTTGGCGGTCAAAAATGAACATTAAACATACGTGCATTGCATTATCCAATATTTTATAAAGGTTATAATAATAAATACAAATTGTGTGTACATTTATATGGGTTCCGTACCAATGTTTACACGTTAGACGACTACGCGGCGCTCACGCGCTTTGTATGACTCTAAAAGCTATGCAGCGCAATTGTTTTCAAATAAAGTTCAAAATATTCAAAAAAAAAATCGAAATCCTGCTCTACACAACCTGACATCGAGCAGCAGCGATGTCCATTTTCACTTGAAAATCTAGATCAAAAATATGTTTCCAATTGATAATAAGCCTATTTGAGGCACTGCGGTATGAAAGGACAAGGGAAAATCTCACACCATTCTTCCCTGAATCAAGTTGGTTTTTAACTCAGCTTACTGACCTGATGCCTTAAGGCAATACTATCCATTATTATTTTATTTATTAAGTATGTAAAAATATACATAACAGATTATTATTTATTAATTAATTTTTAACTTCCCGTAGAATAAACTTCCCGTAGAATAAGTTATTGTAATCGTGCAAAAATCGAAATTGAAAATGTTTGCATTTCTACACGTTGTGAAGGTTTCTGAACATTTTGGCATACCTAAATAGGTGTGTTTGTGTTATGTATGTATAAATACAATTTTTCGTCCACGTTTCCGGCGCACGGATCAACCGATTTGAATGTTTCAAAAAATATTCGATTCCTATTGATAGGAAGATGTGGTGATTAGTTTTTGGCAAAGGCAAGTCCAGCCGTTTAGAGATACAAAACAAAGAAAACAAAATTTTGAGAGTACGGAGTATTTGATTTGAATGATTAAAAAAACGCGGATGGGCAGAAAAAATTGTTTCATTTTTTTTTTTAATTTCAAGAAAATATTTTTTTAACTAAATTTTATTCTTCGAATATTTAATTATGGTACGGGAAGTTCCAGCAATTCGACTCTACATATCATGCCGCACACCACTAGTTTGATATTATTTCGACATTTTTTATATATTTTCGAAAATAGTATTTTGTAAACAGTTGTTCGCCCCCCCGAAGAAGCGCGTCCCACAGATTGGAAACCGCGGACTTAACATAATTTGTAATCAATTTAACATATACTATTTTAAAATTACAAAATGCCTGCACCCTGCAGTACTAGAAATTCCATGTCCATATGTTTTGCAATTGTGTATTTATAGTATATGATCGATAATAGTAAAATTCTCCTAATCATATATGATTTGTTATCTCTAAATTCCGTTGAACCAGCAAGGCAAATTCCAAAATACGATTTAATATTTTCCGACAGATTCCACTTCAGCAACAACAGCATATGTTTTAAAATGTCTACTTCAAATTTTTGTATCGATCTATTGATTAGTTAATGAAGCAATCTATAGATTACAATAATCTATAATCATTCATTGAGTAGGTATTGTCAATTTAAAAAATTTCTTTTCTAACGAAATTATCAATCGCGCTTTTTCATGATACGCATTTCACGTATCTCAAAAATGTTAAGAAATTCGGGTTTAAATTAATTGAAAAGTTTTCCATAATTATTATGGTCAATAGAATTTTAGTAGTACCATATGGAATGATGATGTTCCACATGGAATATAGGTGCACATAATAAAAGAAACTAGTGGTGTATGGCGTCGTGCCTTAAGGCAAATTGCGGGAACTCCCATACCGAACACTAAATTTAAAAAAAAAACTTTGAAAAAATTTGATTTTTGACAAATTTAAAATTTTTGAAAAAAAAAGATTTTTTGTATTTTTTTTTTTTTTAATTTTGAACATTTTTTTAAGCGATCGCGCTATTGCAAAATATATTTTGTGGATTTGGGTTGGTAAAAATAAAGGCGGTAATTATAAAATATAAAAAAATTGTAAATAATCGAATTTATCAATAAAAATTGAGATTTTTACCATCCTTGACTGTCCCATTTGAGGGGACAAAGTAAGTCCATCATATCATTCGGCTGTCTCCTCTCAGGGGACAAAGTAAATCTAGTATTTCACTCGGGCGCATATCATGCCACCAAGGATTATAAAAATACCAAGTATTTTTTCGTATTATTGATTTAGTGTTTTTTAATTTTACAACACACAGGTGGTGTTTTCGACCGATAAAGATGCTTAGAATCAATTGTCATCTAAGTGATTTGGACACCTGTTTTAGTGATAAGATTGTCTTAAGTTGTTGAATGAATAAAAGAGGACATGGCAGTTTGTATACACAATGTCTCGGTTCATATCAAAACATCATTTAAGGATGGATCAAGGATGAGCAACATGCGACTCTTTAAATATTTTTCTGCGGCCCACAATTATAAAATATAATTTTATTTATATTATCAAGTTTTTTCCATCAATAAATCAATTATAATGTATTTTTTTTTTTGTTGCATTAATTCATGAAATATTTACTTTGCTTCAATTTAGTATGTTTATTAGGGGGCGTCCATTATTCACGAGATCGATTTTTACTTCGACATGGGGCAAAAAATAATTATTAATTATTGTAAATGCATGTTCTTTAATGTCCACAATATAAATTCCTATAAACAAAATTGCATACAATGCACAGTAATAATATCAAGTTCACACAGCAGGTATGTTTTCGTAAGAATGTGGCGCCAAGTTGCTGGTAGATAACTTCCGAGTTGGTGTGCCGAGCGGGAAAGGGTTAGTATAATATCAAATAATAGTTTGGGGTATAAAAGGAGTAAACGAATTGTTATTTTCTTTAACGTTTGCTATATCGGGAAATAAGTACTGAATTCTAAAGATGTTTTCTTGAATAATACAATTAGTCCCAAAATGCCTCACAAGTTTTTAGTATAAAATAGTTATTCCAACATACCTTCTACTACGTATATTATGTTCGGCGGTTTTTGCTGCAGAAGTAACACTGCTGTAAGAGCCAGCAAGCCACCCATGTACCTATTATACAGAATATTTCAAGATTTCCACAATTAAAAGAGGTCTGTGCTGGGTGTGCGTATTAAGTTTCTTAGTGTATTTTTTTATCGCTTAACACAAATATAAAGTCCAAATTGGGGGTCAAAAACTGCAAAAAATAAAGAATAAAAAAAAAAAAAAATTAAAATAAAATAGAAAACCTAGTAATTTTTCTGCATGATAAAAATCTTACAATATTTGTCTTTTCATGGTCTTTATCTCTCTTAAATGACCTGTGCAAGGAATTTCTGCAACGCTTTTTTCATCTCTGTTGAGTTATCAACTTGCAGGAACTTTCAAAAGGAAATTGCACACATATTTTCAAACAACTGCAAATATGTTTGCAAATTACTTAGAGACAATGGGAAGTGCACCATCATGAATAGGTTTGTCAGATTACTCTGCTGCAAAAAGATGTTCAACAGAGATGAAAATAAGCATTACAGAAATCCTTGCACTGTTCAAAGAGATAAATACAGAAATTATAAGATTTTAATTATCATGCACAAAAACTAATAATAATAGTATTTTTTTTTGTTATCAAGGGTTCCTGAAGAAGGAGACATCCCATATCACCAAAATGTTATTTAAAGAAAAAAATGGCAGAAATTATAAGATTTTAGTTATCATGCAGAAAATTAATTATAATATCTTTTTATTTGTTATCAAGAGTTCCTGAAGAAGGAGACATCCCATATCACCAGAATGTTATTTAAAAAGAAAAATGGAAGAAATTATAAGATTTTAATTATCATGCACAAGAATTAATTATAATAATATATTTTTTCATTTGTTATCAATAGTTCCTGAAGAAGGAGACATTCCATGTCCGAGAAAGATGGAATAAAATAAAAAAAATTAAATGAATGATTACTTAAATGTATCCGCGCTCTACCGCTGCAACATTTTCAAAACAATTTCTAGATATTGGCGACGAAATGGTTATCACCGATAAAACTAGATGCATTGAATTATTGATCAATTCTCATATAATCACTGATTTACAGAATTATCCTATACCGATGAACACAAGAAGTATGTACATAGTTATGAATATCTTGCAGAAGCAGCAATTCAAAAAAAAAATGAATGAGGGAATTTAGTGTCAAAATCAAAATCTAAAGATAAAACTGTTTTTGAGAATAAACTGAAAATGTTCCGGAGTTTTTGAAAAAACACTCAATTCACTAAACACATACTTCTGCATCAGTTATTTTTCTACTAAAAATTTTCTAGAAATATTTCTTATGGCTAAACGTTTGCTGAGCCAGCTAGTATATATATATATATATATATATATATATATATATAATAATAAGAAAATATATTGGAAATGTAAGGTTCTTTTAAATATATAATATTCTGAATATTCATCTAGTAAACCATATAGCAAAGTCATTGCTGTATATAGCTTACGAGTATCTCTGGTTCATACATTTGAAAATATTACCAAACATTTTGTTTCCGTACTCTCAGAAATTTCAGAAAAGGCGTTTACATTGCAGATAAGATAATAATTAACCAGAAATAAATAATCCGAAAATTTATTATTTGTGTGCTCAAATAAAATGCTCAAAAACTTTAAAATACTAAAATACTTTAAAAAAAAAAATGCTGCGCGCAAGCAAGTATTATTAAGCAGTTATAATTTTATAATTTTATGATTTTATAACTTTATGAAATGAGTGGCCTGATTGCCCGGTGTATTTTAAAAACATTTTCTCTTATATTTTATCTCTTATTAAATAATTGTTTGTTAAATTAGGTAACTGACAATCAAAACAACATGTAAAATAGATGGACATCTTTATTACAACAAATTTTTATATTTCATAACTATAACAATTAAAAATAAATTCTACAGACAATACGAAGAAAAATAACGACATACATCAAAAAGAACATTTTAAAACAATAACAAATGAAGATAAATGCTTGTAGAAGCGTCTACTTTAAATTTTTGGCAGTTTTTATAGAATTGATCTCGAGTTGTGCACACAAATTATTCCTATTGATTTAAATAAAAACATTGAATAAATAATATAATAACTGAGGTAACAAAAAAAAAATCATAACCCTATAATGTGAATGCTTAAGTTTGTGTCTTGTCAGTACCATTTTTGCCATTAAACTATTCACGATACTACGAACTGAACGGTGGAATTATATAGAAGACTCGGTTCTTAAAAAGTCTTATTTATCTTTTGGCCACGTTTGTTTAGTGCCTGTAACCAGGTTTCCTAAATTCAGGAGAAGGCGCTGGCGGCAGTGCGCCTACATCGTAACTCGGGGGCCGATAGAAACGCCACAGTAAAGATGAGCCACGTTTGAGCTCCCCACGTTGTTTCAAGTGAGCCCAGCATTCTTGCCAATTGTTGAAAGTAGGCATATGAGGTGGTTTACTTGCAGCCAATCTAAAAGATAAGTTTAGATGGATAAAGGACTTTCATTTCTGGTTTTAATTTAATTTGTAATAGGGTAGCAGGCAAAAAGGAACACCACCACAAGTAAAATATAGTATTTTTTAAGAATACTATTTTAAAGTAGAAGGTAAAACATGTGGAACCAGCCATCGCCTTAAATCGGGCGACGTCTAAAAAATTAACAAAATAGTCATTTTGGTTTTGAGCACTGTTGTTTAGTTTACAATACCTGAATATAATTTTTAGGTGTACTTCATTTAATTGTTTCATAAAGTGCATTGTTATTTTTAAGTAAGATTCACCAGTTTTATTTATAGAATCTCTAGAATATCTTACATGTGGCTCGATTAAAACAGACTACCTAAACCTTTACACTAGCAAAGTGTAAAAATTTAGGTGGTCATTTATTCTTATTTATTAAGAAAATAGTGAATAAAAATGTAAAATAAGTTAAAAAAGTTCCATACAAAAGTTATATAAAGTGTGATCTTTGTAAAAAAAAAATGTGCCCATAAAATATGTTTTTCAAATATGATAAAAGTCGTATTTATCATTTGCAGCATTTGCATTCACGTTTGATTTCAAGAAACAATGAGTCCAATTATAATCAATTGAAAAGAAATGCCTACTAAATCAAGATTCATAATAGTATTAAGAGATTATAAATACTTCTGCTTATTGCTATTAAAAATACATATTTAGATTATGCTTTTTAATTTTGTTGATCAACCTAATAATTAAACTGCATTACATTCATTAAATAATGAAGCTACCTATATAGAAAACCTCTATAAAATGAAATAAAATAGTGGACCTTTTTACCCCCTGGCTTTTACCCCATTAACAAGGGTCTCATGTGGTATAATGACCAGAAAACACATTTTAGAAAAATAGCAAAAGCCATACTTCTACGAAGATAAATTTGCTGGTAATTTTACTAAACATAGTCAGATTGTTACTTGTTTGATATGTGTTATTTGTTTTGATGTAGTTGGTTTGGTTTGCACAGTATAATTGCTATAAGTCCAACTGGACTGCCCTAGCCTAACAAAGATATAAATAAGTATGTTGAAAGACAACTGTACTTACCTTGATCCATGAAGAGTCATACAATTTGACACAACTTGGAATGGGTACATAATTGTGCTTGTTACAAACTGAAATATATAAATATAAGCATTAAATAAATAAACTTTACAAACTACTTTAAAATTATTAGCTAATTTAGAGCATTAAAATATATCTTACTGTAGCAATAGCTCCAACATAGCTGCGAGTTTCCTTATCCTGTACTAAATGTTTGTTAATGATAAATGTAACAGCACTCGCAAACAGAAGACAAGCAATATCACCTAACAATCTTGGGAACAAACCATTGAAAAATCCTCCAATACCTTCTTCTTGGTAAATAGTTGCAATTGATCCCAAAATTGAACTGAAGTAGTAATAAAAATAGAAATAAATAAATATTTATTCAAATGTGGATATGAATTCAAAATTTGAAATTATAGGTGACCCCCTTATAACATGGACGTGACGTATTTCTATAGCATGGATCCACTCTAACAAGGTTAGGAAATGAGCAAAATTCTAATAAAATATAAAGCAAACTTTATCTAATGTAAAGTTGGTGAAGTCACAAAACAACTGCTCATAAACTTAATGCAAAAGATATCTCATTTGCCATTTTTCATTTGAGCCTGGACATTCTATTGGAAAAAAGCCTAGGTTTACCCAAACAGTTATTGATATTTCTCAAATATAGGTTCTTTAGATGAAGTAATTTAAAATTTAAAGAGAACTCACATCTAGAATCATGTAGAAATGTGTAAAGATCTTTCTTTAAAAAAGCCAAGGCTTTCCCAAACATTAGTCATATTCCTCAAAAAAAGATTCTTTAAATGAAATGAGCCCAAAATTTAAAAGAAAACATTAGTGCTTAGTATCATATAAAGAACTTATAAAAATCTTTTCATCAAAAGCGAGCATTAAAAAATAACAATTCATATTGCAAAAATAAGGGAATCGAAATTATGCTAGTATAGAAAAATTCTCAGACGATGAGGAAATCTTGCCAGATCAGGTTAATTCACTTAGTACATATCAACTACAAAAATTAATGAATATACTTTTATCTTTATTATAAATATATACTAGCATTTTTAAATCTATGCCCTCTTTCTACACTACTCCTTTGTCTAACAAGGATTACTCCAGTGTTATACGGGGGTTACCTGTATATCATTTACTTACCAATATTTGGTTTCATGACCAATAAATTGAGCCATCATTCTAACAGTGATTACTTGGAAGGGGTGACTAATTATTGTACCGCTTATGTGAAGAATCATGTCTCTTGACAATGCCTTTTCAAATCTCTTCCTCCTAAAAAATACAATAATTAGTAAATATAATTAGCAATAATGTAAATACTAGATGATTTTGCCAATTTTAAAAATGGACTTGAAGTACTAAATGTAACATTAGACTTCTGATTTCTGAAATCAAGTTTCGATAAACAACAAAATAGAAAAACAAATAAATAGAATGTTTAAATTTGCATTAAATTGACCCAAATAGTAAATACTTAGTGCTTTGCTTAATTGTATTTGAAACTAAAATTGATTTTGATAAGCGTATAGGCGCAAACTTTATTTATTCTTTGGACTTTGATAATAATTTACATTATATATATATATTTATGTTTACTTGTTTTTAATAAGCTAAAAGAAATAATATGATTGTTATAAGATTATGATATATAATGTTTATATTTATTTGATCCTTTTACTGAATAACTTATTTCACTAACAAAATTGTACTTACAATTTTTTGTGAAAATTATGCATGATCAACAAATAATTGTTTTTAAAGTTATTCAATCCTGGTGAACTGTTATTTCTTTGTTCTACTGAATTATACAAAAAAAATTTACTATCAATAAATATGAACAATAAATTTCATTCAAAACTGCTCTTTTAATCACAATAAATTTTCTGTTAATTTTTTTTTTATTCAAATTACAGAGTATTCAATTAAGAACATTTTTTTATGAAAATTTGAAACTGGTATTCTGGAATAATTACTATTCAACAACCGTTTTCCTAAAAGGCCAGTTTTTGTATAATCCTTTATAAATTTACCTTTCAATATCTGTGAGTTCATCATCATTTACATCTTCTTTTTCAGGAGGTACACCCAAACCTAACTGTTCAGCTATTTTTTCACTACCTAAGACACTCGCTATGTTACCCAGGAGTTTAGGTGTAAGGCCTCGATAGCAACCTGTAATGCCATCCATTCTTCTAATGTAACCCACTGAAATATATAAAAAAGTAATTATAAAAGATATTTTTGTTAGTACATTAAGAATTATATAAGTGTTATATTATTATTATTTAAATTTTAAAATAATTGTTACACAATAATAATAATAATTGTTAATAATTGTTTGTATCCTGTAGTTAAGTAACAAAAAAAATTATAACACAAGCAATAAATTAATTAGGGATTCTAGTGTAGA